GATTTTAAATATGCAGGATCCATTTCTTAAAAGGTGTGTGACATTTAATTTTTAGAACCTGTTTTCCCATGACAAATATCGGCTTACGTTAGAACTCCAATCCGTCCGTTGTAAACTATTTACTTTTCGGGAGACCTTAAAACGGCACACCAAATAACTTTCAAAAATATGCTAAACAAACATACATAATACATGGACAGTTTCTTATAATTATGGAATTCAGATTCAGATAAATACCCAGAAAAGGGTTAGCCAGAATTGCAACCAAAAAGTCTGTTCTGAATGACAAGACACCGTTTCACTTCAACACGAGCCAGGGCAACTCAGGTTGGTAAATGCCGAAGAACTTTCTCGTCAAACACCAGGATCAAACCCGGCACCACCTGTAGGCCCATGGTTAGCGAGCATTTCCTCACTCGCCTAGACACTAAGTGAAGGGTGGATCAATGGGGTACTGTAATTTCTAATCAGTTATGTTCGGCGAAAGAGTCCAAATTGAATGGTAGTCTTTGGTGTCTGATTATTCCAATCTACACCGGTAGTATTCTCCTATGGGATATCTTTAGCCTCGTTCATCGAGTCGCTTCATTACAAATGGCGCTCGAAAGCATTCTGGCACACGATTTGTGTGCCAATTTTAAAATTTTCATTTTGTCTTAAATATTGGATATCAGAAGTCCACCTTTTCACAGGAAGAAAACCCCCCATTAATGTTGATTTAAATTGATCAATAAGTGGTGTACGCAATGTTGAAGACTGTGGATGATATTGAGTTAAAGGCTTGCCTCCTTCAAATCAACCTGTTTGTGACTTGAATTGAGAATGGGGGCATTAAACTGCAAGTATGTTCTCTGAAAGGATAATAATAAAAATAGAAAATGTTACACGTATCTTTAAGCTCTAGATGACCTTTGAATGTGCTGGAACAACAGTATGTCTATTCTTGTTCTTTACATAATTGGTCATCACCTTTTGTTAGAACTGACAATAAAGATCACACAAAATATCTGTATCTTTTCATGGAATTACTGTGCGTGATAAAATTACCAAGACAAATTCAAAAGCCTAAAGCAACCTTTCAGTAGTCGTCATGTTCAGGATAAAGAAGAACGATTATCATACTCGCATGTACACCTAATTATCATATTAATTATATCTTTGCCAGGACGAAAATGTCTCTAATATGATGACTTCTATTATCCTTCGGTGTCGGATATTTCAACTAATGAACGCCTACTGAAGTCAACTATAATATATTGATCGTTAATAGATACTTAGATTGTAACTAATTTGTTACAGGTTTAAAATTAAACACAAGCTTTACTTCCACTAATTCTTAACCTATGGTAAAGCTGAATGGTAATTATGAAGGCAAGTTCAGCCACGTGAGATTTAGCGAAGTGTATATATTTTGTAAATAAACACTCCAATGTCTCCAATTATGACTTGTAGAAATATGAAATGGAGCATTTTGGTTCCAAAAATCCGTCATACATCTATGTTAACGTTTCAATTATATTTCTTGAATCAGATTTTTAAAGCAGGAAAAGATTTGTTAAGCAATGATAAGCAACCCATAGTTGATAAGCTACATCTCATGGGAATAAGCAAGTTCATTCTGTTAGTATCCTGTAAATACTCAGTCTCTTTCGGTTACTAATCTCCTTCAAAGGACATGGGACTTTAAACAAAACATGCGTTGTTGCTATGCAGCAGAAACTTTTTTATTGACCAAGTTAATAAAATTCTTCATTTGTTACGGCCTTTAACTGTATTATCAGTTAATTAATAATAAAGATTTCAAATTATGAGATTTTTATGACTCTCTAACTATACAATTTTATCATAATAGGGTGCTAACAAGCTGACCTCAACAGTTAGATAAGCAATGAAAGGATAGTGCTATTGATTAGCACTTGAATATTTATTATGACAGATGGGAAAATTTGATCAACATAAAGTCATTGGAATTACTTTTATTTCTAGATACAATTTTTGAAACGATCTCTTATAAGGCAGTTTTCTCTTGCTACATGGCTTGGAAGTAGGCAGGTTCGAATTTCGAATATAATCATTTTTTTTATTATGTGAATGAACCCACCATTTTATTTCCGAACTTATAGGGGGAAAATTAGCAACAGACGTGGATATCAAGTGTGTCTTCATATGCTTATTGTCAATTATTAAAATTGCGGCTTTGAATGGAACAGTTTCAAGTTTTATAACCGTGAATGAAATAATTTAATTCTGTGTGAAATTTTTTTAGAAGCATTTATCATTGCCCGTGTGCTACCATCTGACGTTCTATAAATTGGTAACTTTTCTTCAAACTTTCAGTGGACTTGTCGATAAGTCCTCAAATTCCATGCTGTTAAAGTGCTTAGATAACTATGTTTAAATAATGTTTTGGTAAGGATCGTGCTTAACAAGCTATCATTTACCCAATGACTCAATGTTTTGATTTCGGATGAGGTTTTTAAAGATAACCGGAAAAGCATCATATTTTTATACGCCCAAATTTTCATGTGGACGTATATTGTCGTCGCCCCTGTCCGGACGGACGTCAGTACGTCCGTCCGTCCACATTGTTTGTGGACACTCTACAGGTCACAATTCTTATCCGATTTTGACGAAACTTGAAATATAGGTTTATCTCCAAAAGGTCTCGACTGCTTTCGATATTGGCATATATCGGATCGAAACTTCATGGATTATGGCCCTTGTTTGTACGAAAAATCACGTTTTTAGCTTGTGGACCCTATAGAGGTCACAATTTTTATCCGATTTTGTTGAAACTTGTTATCCAAGTTTATAACACAAAGATCTCGGTTCCTTTCGATATTTTCGCATATCGAATTGTAATTTCCTGAATTATGGCCCTTGATTGTAGGAAAAATCACTTTCTTTTTAGCTTGTTCTCTATCCATTTCTCGAAAATGTTGGGGTATCCTGCCTGGCAGCCGCTGGTTTTTCAATAATGCAAGTAATTATGTCAACATATACTTTCCACAACTATAACACGACCCCGAATGTCAATGTTACCTGCATGTTTCTGCAGCAACGACCGTAGTTTTACAACATCTAGACGTTGCTAGACAGGTCTGCAATTCCCGAACTGTATAGCTACGTTATCTCCCTTTAACGTAGACACGTGAACGATAGCGTCCAATCAGAGGTTTTCCGGTGACCTTTAAGCTATTACTTCACAGTTGTGTATAGTTAAAGGAGCTAAATCTCTAATCTTTGGGACCTAAAAATAGACACAAATGGATAGCAACGCTTATAATAATGTAATATGAATGTATATAAACAGATTTAAATTCAATCGTTTCTGTTTTTACTGTAATTTCTAATCAGTTATGTTCGGCGAAATACGTGAAGAGTCCAAATTGAATGACAGTCTTTGGCGTCTGGTTATTCCAATCTATACCATTTGACATTAATTCATCGTAATGTTTAGCCTCGTTCATCGAGTCGCTTCATTACAAATGACGCTGGAAAGCAATCTGCCACGCGATCCGTGTGCCAATTTTAAAATTTTCATTTTGTCTTAAATATTTGATATATTATCTTCATTCAAATCCGATTCCCCGGTTGTACGTGACAAGGAGTAGGGTCGCCTGTCCAACCTCGTGGTTTTTCTCCGTCGAGTGGACGTTAAACCCCATCTCTCTCATTCAGTTCCATCACACTGTATTGAAATAAGTATTGATGAGATAAGAATTAGCTACCAATGCTGTCCGTTATAAAAACAAGCGGTTGCCATGCAAGATACGCCCACATTTTGCTAGAGATTTTTCGTACAATCAGGGGCCATAATTCGGGATGTTACGATCCGACATGCGTCAATATCGAAAGAAATCGGGATCTTTGGGATATAAACATATGATGTTTTAAGTTTCATCAAAATCGGATAAAAATTGTGACCTCTAGAGGGCTATAGAGTATAATCCAGGCAGTTATGGTCCGATATACGCCAATATCGAAAGGATCCGAGATCCTTGGGTTATAAACATACTTTTTTTTTTAAAGTTTCATCAAAATCGCATAAAAATTGTAACCTCTAGAGTGCCCACAAGCTAAAAACGTGATTGTTCGTACAATCAGATAATCCATGAAGTTACGGTCCGATACGTGCCAATGGCGAAAGGGTCGAGATCTTTGGGATATAAACCTATATTTCGATTGTGACCTGTAGAGTGTCCCCAAACAAATTGGGAATGGACGGACAGATGGACGTCCGGACGGACAGGGGCGACGACAGTATGCGTCCACATGGAAATGTGGGCGTATAAATATTATTTGGTATTCGCAAAACAATATGCGTGATTTTAAGTATCTGGTCGTCATTTAGGGGATTTTCAATTATTTACAACTACAATCTTGTGAAAGTTGAATCTCTAACACGAATAGCAATCGAACAATGATTCGATTCTATGTAAGTCTGTTGTTTCGACGTTAAAAATCTTCGCCTTCCCGTGCCCTCGCACCCCCCCCCACACACACACACCCAACACAGACCTGTATTTAATTTGTATTTATCTTCATTTATATTACGGATATTTTGAAAGCGTTACTTTATTTTCATTTATTATATTTTTTGTCGCAATAACAAGTCCGTTATGGCCATTTGAAGGCCGTTTTATCTATAACTTATATAAAGAAGCCAGCACCACCTACAAGTTTCGCTAATATCTCTTGATGGGCCTCTTGGTTGAATCGAAGCTGTGAGACCATCTATCTTAATTAAATGTTAAATAATAGTTTGAGTACATTTTAGCGCGGATTAAGTCGTGAAAAAATTTAATATTGTCGAAAAATGCAAATGACAATCAGTTGCATTAAATCATGGAACATTATACCATGGCGATAAGCATATAATTTATCTAATAGTAGGTCTATAATAATTTTTATTCTTTAACAGGATCTTCAAAGTACTTCAAACAGAGAATTATGGATACCTCGTCAAACCCCCTTAGTTCTCATCATGCAGAATAATAATGGTAGAAGAAGAATTTGGTGCAGTATTTGTGATTTTAGTGACAATCATTTTAGTGCTAGAAATGGTGATAGGATTAATAGCTAATCTAGCTGTGTTCATAATAAGTCGTGATAATAACAAGAAACATCTAACACGAGGAAACAGCTTTAATCTTAATCTTCACGTCGTGGATTCTATAATTTGTGTTACTATTGCTCCACTAACCCTCGCTTATGTTGTTTCAACGCGATTCCAAACCCCGCTGTTTTGTTATGTTTTTGAAGGATCCGTGTCCTTCACCAGCACTGCCAGTTCCTTAACCTTATTCTTCATCTGTTTAGATCGGTACTACGCAGTTATGGCACCAACAGAACCTCACATCATATCTACAAGATCCCGTGTGTTCATATTCTTAATTTGGATATTTGCTACTATTTCTTTTTGTTCCCCTTTTTTTGGATTAAAACTAGAAATGTTTAATTCCTTTAACCAGGCTAATAGCAGTTCTGTCACATGTGGTGAAATTATATGGAGAATGGAGCCCCATTACATCTATGAGGTGATCTATGTTGTGACGTTTCTTATGACGGCATTTGCAATGCTTATGTTTTATTTATCCATGTCTCGCGTCACTCGGCGAAGAGTGGCCATTAAAGACGCACTTGTAAAGGCATCTTTGTCTTTTGGAGTCAAAATGCCACCTCTCAGAGATACCGAAAGAAAAACTTTAAAGCTTTCTTCAGCGATTGTTTTAGCGTTTTGGATTTTTTGGGGACCTCATTTAATTGTAAGTATAGTGGGAATGATTGTGTGGGATTCTTTAGCGTTAGATATTGCTCGAATTCTGTGTTTGCTATTTGCACTTATGACGACTATTATACACCCGTTATTGTATGCCTTTATGCGACAAAGATTTCGTCAGTCATTTAGAAGACGTTGGATGCATCGGGAAACAGCAACAGTTGGTTGTGCAACATATGATGGCAAAATAGCAACTATAGAAGTTCAAGCGCCTGGGCTTTGAAACAGTGAAAGAACTCCAAAAACAAAGTTGGGTAATATTATTTCGTTTAATGAAATAATTGTTTCAATATTTGATCGGTTCAGACGTTTTGTTTAAAAGACAGAGGTACATCCACGCAAATTGTGCAATAATTTAAAGGAGCTAAATCGCTAATAATTGGGACCTAGAAATTGACCCAAATGGGCCGCAACGCATATAACAATGTAATCTGATTGTATATAAACTGATTTACATTCAATTGTTTCCGTTTTGACTCTTAATTTTAAATCAGTTATGTCCAGCGAAATACGGCATGTGTCTCAACCCTATAGCATTTTCTAGCGTCTGGTTATTCTATTCCAGTCTATTGAGCAAGCTCCCCAGTTGAATATGTCTAGCCTCGTTCTTTCTGGTCATTTGTTGCAAATGACGCTAAAACGCATATGGTACACGAGTCGTGTACCAATGGTAAAATGTTTATTTTGTCTTAAATATTGGATATCAGAAGCCTGTCTTTTCCTGGTAAGATCACAACATCAATGTTGATTTGAATTGACAAATAATTAGTATTTTCAACGTGTAAGACTTTGGATGATATTGAGTTAGAAACTTAGCTACTTCAATAGCAGGAGCAGGCCATCTCCTCGAAATACCCCAATGTCTCATGAAACCATCAGCCACTACGTATAACTATGTGGCCAGACAGCGCCTGGGCCTATAGACAATTGTATCCAGCAGCACCGCTTTAGGTTGGAACGGAGACAGACACTTTGAGCAGTCAACGCCTAACAGTCGCACATGCACGAACCTCAAGACATAAAACTCTTTAGAGATCGGAGCGAGGTTTCATATCCGCCTATACGCTGGATGTGGTATCAGAAGTGTTACAAGGAGAGCGAATACCGACACCGTGCACAGCAACCACCCCGACTAGAGCGATGGTTTGGAAACCTAAAGCTACATGCACCCGGTCCCTTTATATATATATATATATATATATATATATATATATTCTGTTTTCTATCTTCTTCCTGGCTGTAAATGTATGTTATAAATAAATATTATATTTGATTTTAATCCCTTTGAAAAGATGTTTACTCCTCTACTGACGGACAGGAGGTCGGAGGTGCTTTCCCGAGAATATTCCGAGTACCAAACCAGAGACGGCAAATCTTAACAGATAATATACCAAAGGGCAATCTTGCCAATTCACTAAAAAAGGGACTCCAAATTGCATAAGAATATTAACTTCTTTAAAAGCTCCCACCACACCCCCATACACACACACACCCATCCACCCACCCAATACTCGCGAGCTCTTTCTCAGCCCACACCCACAATCCTCACTCGTGTAAGGAGTAAGGACGTGTGTCACGATTGACACCTGAATATTGCCACTCGTGCAAACTAATTCCCCAGTTGCGTTTTCAAAAGCATAAAGAAAACAAAAGTGGCATTAATAGTATGATTTTAATACGAGAAATACAATATCAGTAAATCAACTATCAATTTCAGAGTTCGATATGTCCATGGGGTCACTTCTTTTGAGGAATCAAACCATCAATTTCACACAAACACATTATTCGTACAGATTAGGTCCAACGTGAACATAACTAAATATAGGCCTGCAATACCTATTCTCAGAGGCGCAGATCGCCAAAAAATAGTGGTGGGGACAGTCCATGCGCGGGTGTCTATTGGTAAAGAGCGGGGTTCGTGGGTCCTCCCAAGAAATTTTTTAAAAACTAGACGCCCTAAAACGCACTCTGTGGGTATTTTCAACATCATTTTCTAGCAAACAAATCTAATCCCTGAGGCAGCAAATGATACGAAATCTAATCTAAAGACAAATTTTCAAGCCACCGTTCACGATTTATTCTCTCATGTACACTACAAGAACTAGAAATATTTACACTACTGAGATTCCAGCTCCGCCTCCATTCCCAATCTGGTTAAAACACAGATCCTATTTCGTTTCGTGTTTATAGTTCAAAATTTCGTTTTACTTGTCTGTACTACACTTGGTGTAGGCCATCGAAAGTATAGATCTGTATTTTAATCAGATTGCCTCCATTCCCGGTAGTGTTCGATCCTAATAAGACAGAGGCCGCGGAGCGATTTCCGAAGTCTGAGGTCTGACAATAATAATTGAGAGACGAAGTCCCGAAAACGAAGCGTCGCGTAGCGACGTGAGAGCGTATTGCCGGAGGCGCCGCAGGCGCCGGAAGCTGCCGGCGTGGGGTTTGTGATTTTTTGCATTTTTAAGTAACCCAAAACCCTCCTGCTATCACGAAAGAAAAGCTGACCACGACTCACCACTCATGTTATCCATGACGAAAACAATGCCAGTTATAATTATTATAAATGTAGAATGGGACGAAATAACGATTTTTTTTTAAAAGGTGGGGGGGGGGCTGTTTAAAAAAATAAACAGTAAGCAAAACATCGGAAATAAGTGGTGGGGACACAGTATATCATGTCCCCACCACTAAAATATTGGTGGGGACGCGTCCCGGTGTCCCCACCGGGATCTGCGCCCATGCCTATTCTGATTTAATAAGTTATTCGTAAAATTTTAAACACTGTACAATTCTCATCAGACAAGGTTGAGATATTTATAGGCCTGAATATCCTATTCTGGGATCATCTCAAGTGCTCTATTCCATTAATAGACTCTCACAATGTAGGCTGCGACTAAACTTGGCCCCAACGTTGCTCCATATCAAACGTTGCCCAATAAATAATCCAAACACATAAAAGTTTCAAATCTGGGCGTTATCAAACATGGCCCAGTTCCAATATATCGGCCCTCCAATTTCAAATAAACATGGTCCGATATTCACTACAAGAATTCAAGACGGAAGGTTAAATTAGCCCTCGCCTGATCAATCCGATTGAGTCTGAACGAACAAAACTAAAGGACTGACATGAGGTACTATCTATCCACCCCTGCCTAAATGTTTATCGTGTACACAGCTTTACAATGTATCTTTATTATGCCAGGTCCCACTGTCGTGCGATGCGTTACCATAGGATTGTCCCAATTGAGTTCCCGATCTGCTACGTGCAGATACGTTCGGATACGTTTCGATACGGTCAACACGATTGCTACGACGGACCTCAATGATAAGACCTGATAGGATCACCACGATTACTCCACGATTAAAACTACGATTTCAATCGTAGCACGAATCGTGATGGTGGAATCTAGCATTTCCTAATAAAATAAAATAGACACAGTGATTGTTTCTATTACTTATTATTTATTAATAACGATAATTAATAAAAAAAATGAAGAGAATAATCAATAGTTAATTAATAGTATTAAATGCATTGACATGTAAGGCGGATACAATTTTCACTGTGGGTTAATCTGGATTGTATCACGATATATGGCTATGGCGATCAGAGAAAGATAATCAGTATAATAGTTATTATGAAAATTGTTTTAAAACACAAAGCAGAATTTGTGTTGTTGATAATTTAGGATAATTAATTATGGTATAAGGAAAACAATATCGTATTTCAAAATTTTTGGATCTTAAATAGCTAAAAGAAGTAATAATACATTTTGAAACAATATAAGAAACTGTAAATTATATATAGAAACATATAATAAAATATTATTAAGTCTGTATATTAACTTTTAGATTCTATGCATAATAAAATAGCTTACTCTTCCGGACACCTGTTACCACTGTTTGTCGTGTATTTTATATACGAGGAGCAGTCCATTTGCTGATTACACTATTTTGCTTGAATACGCTATTTTGCCTATAACGTTTTTTTAGGACTTCGAATTCTGTCTTATGGTTTGGATTGTTCGTACTTGGTTTTATTTTATTCATAGACCAATATTTCATGTGGCTTCTGCCGGTTCCAGGCCCCAATCCGCCCCTGTGGCTGGCCAAGGCATATGGACAATATGGTGACGCTGGAGGTAGTCATTCACGACACGAGCGAGGTGGGCGCGGGCATTATCATCTTGAAAGATGAAACGTCGACCTGCAGTTGAGCAAAGGGTGGAACTATCGGTGCCAGGATGTGGTCACGGTAGTACACACCGGTGACCCTTCCTTGAAGAATATGCAAGTTCGTCCTGCCAGTCATGGTGACTCCTCCCCACACCATAACACCCCACGCCCGAATCGGTCATGCTGTGCTCATTTACACGCCTCAAAACGCGAGCACGCCTATCGGTGAAATCCAGAGTAAATCTAGACTCATCTGAGAACATTACACGCGCCCATCGACGATAACTCCAATTTCTACGCTGCCTACACCATTCACGCCTGTTTGCCATGTGCTGGCGAGTTAGTGGAGGCACAACATGTAGCCGATTTCTAATCGTTTGGGATGTAATTCCTGTAACTTGGTACAAGTTTACAGAAAGACCTATGTACGAATGTATCGATCCTGGGCTTGTGTAGTCGCTCTAGGACGACCTGAACGAGGTCTATCATCAACATTGTGTGTTTGTTGGTACCGGTTCGACAGTCTGCTGATCACAAACTGTGACACATTAAGCATGTTGGCTACTGCATGCTGTGTAGAACCCATTTGAAGCATGCCAATAGCACGTAGACGTTCATCATGTTGAAGACGTCTCACTGCAAATTAAACGTAACACACTAAAGCAAAGATACGCTAAACAGTAGGCCTAAATCTTATGCAGGAACCGATAGGAAAGCAAACATGGTTAGGATAAAGCAGCTCGCGACAGTTTTCATCAACCCTTCCGCGAAGTGTCAATTTGACAATGAACCCCTCCCACATGTATGGCGCTATTGCGTGTCGCACTTGCAGCTCAGTGCTTCTGTTGGGGCGATAAGTTTTCATCTGTGAACATACTCTCAAAACATGTCAAGTGTCCATGACTATTTATCATATCACAACCTGCCTAGGTATTTGCATTTCAATATCCCCTACTATTTTTGAAGAGTATATAAAATGGAATGTTACTATTTCTGATCTTAGTTCTTTGTGAAGTCGTGTTATTACATATTAGGACGTATAAAGGGAGAATGAACTCAGTCAAGTTTTTCGATCGTAATCATGAATATATCCCGCTGTTTAAGTTCAAATTTACGAAAGCTTGTGAACACGACACAAGACAAGGTGCGCGAAGGAATTTCCTTAAAAGAGAGAGGGAGAGAAATGGGGTTGAACGCCCACTCGACACAAACAAGGTCATTTCGGGACTAACATATGATTCAATTGTATTTCAATAATTGGCTTGCGCATTGGGATCTTTAGCAGTGGGAATACCAGGAGAAAACCCACGAGGTTGGATAGGCGATCCTACACCTTGTCACGTACAACCGGGGAATCGAAACCATTCCCCCCCCCCCCGCCCCTGAATTTCTTTCAAACACGAGCCGAGCTTGCCGATTGTGGCAAACGAACGAACTTAATCGAATTAAAAATTTCTGAACGCATTTTCGCATAGTTTTCATTCTGTTCATATTTTGACCGTTAAAGCTGGTGAACAAGATACAGAAAAATGATTTTTTTCAAAACGTGGTGGGGTTGGTTTCAGTGGATTTTTAAAAAAAACCAAACAAACTTTGCTAGATTATTCATTCGGGCACCCGATTTAATTTCATGGGATTTTGGCATTTAGAGAGCGTTTTGCGAAAATGTTCACATTGTTAAAGCTTTCGATATAATGGAATTCATACTGTATTTGTTATTACTGTATATCTCTGTGAGATTGATTGACCATGATTTTAGTTCTATAACACCATGATTAATTCTGTCAGAAGTCTGTATTTGCATATATTTTGTACGGAACATTTAGTTATTTGTCATACAAAATTCTCCTTGAAACGATTATCATACTAAACACACCTTAGGATGACAACAATACAAAAACCAACAAAGGGCATTCGAGAAGTTAAGTGTTCTATTCGTAGCAATTCCATACAAATTCCAGATACCGAACAAAAATATATTAATGATTTCCATTTAAAAACAGTTACATTAATGAGATTAATAAACATTAAGATAGTGGTGACGTATTTGAGTTCCCCGGGGGATTCTTAAGCAAAGTTATTCAATAAAAATACTCTTGTATTATTTAACGTTACTAATGAAATTTCGATGTTCAGTGTAGGATGGGACAGATTTAGGAATGGAAGGAGATAAAAGGTAAAAACGAACTGAAAAATGTCAAGTAATTATCAGCAAGCAGTGGTAATAAAGATCCTCCTGGAATCCATTAACATCTATTATTCCGTCATTACTCCAAGCAGTCACTTGATGTCATTTTTATTGATTCGTCTTTTGTCAAAAAATATTCATTTATTATAATCTATAGAGTAATTAAAGTGTCGACAGATCAGACTAAACAACATTCTACAGGGAATAATCGCACTTTTAAACAGGAAACCTGACACAAGTGGTTCCACTTTTAATGTTTCATACTAAACGGTTAACATTCTAATGGAGGTTGGATAATATGTGGAAAAAGCATTTTTTGTTGTTGTAGATTGGCATGTTTATGGGTTCGTATGTTGTCCTCATCCATCCAACTTTTGACAATTACTTGTAAAGTTCTCAGTCGATTTTCATACAAGTTGCAGGATGAGTATTGGGTTAGGTATTGTAATGATGGCCAATGTAAATTTTTGTATTTTGCAAAAGCAATTTACCTTGACTACATTATGTTAAATTCGCACAAGTTCTTGATCGATTTCCATATAATTTTCCGAACTAATTAGTACTGTGTGAGTTATTGGTCTCGATCCGCATGGTTGTTGCTAAACATACATCACATGATACACCAGTCAAATTAAAATTATACATATATATATATATTTTAATTCATCTTTATAGTTGATTTTCTGAACTGCATAAGATCTACCATGGACCCTATAATATAGAGTCTGTATGGATGTACGATATATTCAGCTGCTGTTCCCACAACTGCATTATGCCCAGCGGCAAGTGGGCAAGCTATGTGTGAATTTGGTCTGATAGATTATTCTGTCTTGCATAAACCCTATCTTAAAAAAAGAGAGTACTATTACGTTTGTCTAGTAGCTACTATCAAGGGGGGATAAGTTTACAAAACACAACAATTTCTGACAGAACATATTGCACAGATAATATGCTATTAAATTTTATTCACAGTATAACATGATATATGACATTATTTCTCTACATTAATAAATAACAAATCTATATTTTAAACATACATTATGTAAGAGCTAAATCTGCCTATTGCAGGTCTTACTTTAGGCCTTAAATGTTATATAAACTATTAATTAGACATTTATTAACATGACAAGATCATAATCAACTCTTGATGGGTCCGATTTTCAACAGGATTTAAATCAGATCTGTAGTTCAACGGCTGTTGATGATTAACAGTAAAAATGTATAATCTAAACTTTGTTTATTATTGTAACAAATGAAATGAGGCTACAGTGTTGTTAAAATGAGAATTCTCGGCTCAGAGTGAAGTAATTTGACTTAAATTTTCAGCATATTCCCTTTCTTAATATCTATTTTTTATATGCCTACATTTTCATGGGGACATATTATGCCGTCGCCCCTGTCCGTCCGGACGTCCACCCACAATTTGTTTGTGGATAATTTTATCTGATTTTGACATATCTTGAAATATAGGTCTATCTCCCAAAGATCTCATTTCCTTTCGATATTGGCATGTATCAGACCATAACTTCATGGATTATGGCCCCTGATTGTACGAAAAATCACGTTTTTAGCTTGTGGACACTCTATAGCTTACAATTTTTATCTGATTTAAAAAAACGTGTGCACATACCACCGTTACACCATAATGATGGTTTGGTTTGAATTTCGTGAAAATCGGACCTAAACTGCCGGACAAATGGCCGCCCCTCGTATGCAAATAGTGTACAAATATGGTATATCAAAGTTGTGGGTCCTAGAGGCCACAATTTTTATCCTATTTTGATGAAACTTTCAATTTATGTTTATATTACAAAGATCTTTAGTTGCCTTCAATATTCGCACATATCCGAACCTATCTTCCTGGATTAGGCCTGTAGCCAGGGCTGCCGACAACCAGTATCGCAGCGCAATTTGCGATACATATTTTGTCCGTTGCTAATCAAAAATTAAAATCTAACGTTTTTGATTCGCAGTAACTGCGAATCAATAATATGCCTGTCATTTTGGATATTGACACAAAGATTTATCCACATTTCTCAACACTTTCAACGCGTATAAAATATCAAATAAATTTTATAAACAAAACGGAATTCTCCGTGTGACATTTTCTTCTCGAACTACCCAGACTCAATTCATGATACTATATAATACAGGGACATAACTCTATGAATCGGGACTATTAAACCGGAAATAGGGAATCAAGTAGTACCACTCACGTTGCGAGACATGTCAATTTCGAGTAATTATATCAGTATTCAATTTGAAAAAAAATAAATTCAGTGTATCCCCCACGTATTGTAAATAAAATATAAAAAATAAATACGTGTAAACGTATTGTAAAGTGAGAAATCAAAGTAAGAATTCCCGTAAACTATTATTGTTTATATCGCGTGCGTCTAGTTAATCGAAATTATTCGTAAAATACCGCGTGCTTCCGATTGAACAAAAATAATAACACACGATAAAAAGCAGACGAAATTGTTTTCTAACGAAGAAATAAGAAGCCACTGCCAAGAATTGGCTTCAGACATAAGGCCTAACAAAAGTCTACATTCATTCAGAAATGTTCACAGCTAGCTGTAGAAGTGCTAACATTCTAAAAAAATCTTAAGAATGAAATCTTAATCATTTGCTATCAATTAAAATTAAAATAATCTTGTTATTTAGGTGTTTTATGTTGATTTGAAACTGAAAAACTGCTAATCAATTTTTAAAGTTGCTAATCAAATTTGGCAAAATTGGACTTTTTGATTAGCAGTGCTGCTAATCATCTGTGAAAAATTACCGACAGCCCTGCCTGTAGCCCCTGATTGTTCGGAAAAATCGCATTTTTAGCTTGTGGACCCGCTAGAAGTCACAATTTGTATTCAATTTTAAAAACCGTTTAAATATATCACCGTTACACGTCAATGAAGGTTGAATTGAAACCTCGTAAAAATCTGACTGAAACTGCCAGACAAAATGGCCGCTCCTCGTACGCAAATAGTGTAAAAGTATTTAACACCTGAGAAGTCACAATTTTCATCCGATTTTGATGAAACTTGAAATGTATGTTTACAATCAAAAGATTGTGGTTCCTTTTGATATTTGTTCATATTGGACTGTAACTTCCTGGATTATGGCCCCTGATTGTACGAAAAATCAGGTTTTTTTTAGTTTAGGTACAATTTTTTATCCGGTTTTAAAAAATGTTTAAATATATCGCCATTCCAACATAATTATTATTATTATTATTGTTCGATTTATGGGGAATGAATTTGAATTTCGGGAAAATAGAAACTAAATTTATGATAGAAAGCAATGGAGAACTATACACTATGAAGGCCTAAATGACAACAAAATCATTTCCCTAATAAAGAACAGACAAAATAGTCATTTATTTAGTTACAAATTTGTTATTTTACTTTAGCTTTAATACATACAAGATAGTGCAAGCTCAATATGTCTAATTTTCACATTTCCCTTCGATCCTAACATTGAGTCACACGTGTTTGGTGTTTGTTTATGTATGGTAAATCTGTCTCCAGAATAACTTCGCCTTTCAATAAATATACGGCGACATGAGGGTGACTTCAACTTCACCCTAGGTTTTTTGGAAGGTGAAATCAGCAGCGGTTGGGCAACTATTTCACCCACTAGTTCGAGCCCTTTTCACAAGCGGTTCAACATGTGAAACAAGGGCCATAACTCTAGAAGTAATTAAAGGAAATTTCTGAAATTCAATAGGCTTCTTCGTTTTACTTACCTAAATAATATATATAAATTTCATATTGATCGAATGATAACTTTAGTTGTTAGAGCGTTCACATGTTTCAACAAAGTGAAACAAGGGCCATAAGTCTAGAAGTAATAAACAGAAATTGTTAATTTAATACAGATCGGATGATAACTTTCCATTAGAGCGTTCAAAAGGTTCAACAAAGTCAAACAAGGGCCATAACTCTAGAAGTAATTAATGGAAATTGTTGAAATCAAATAGGATTCTTCATCTCACTAATGTAAAAAAATTAAATTTCAAACTGATCAGATAATAAATGTAGTTTTTAAAGTGCTCACAATAAATTGTGGACGACGGATGGACTGAGGTGGCGGCAATATATGACCGCGTTTCCATGTGGGTATATAAAAAGCAATTTTTCGTACAAGCAGTGGCCATAAACATATACGTGTATTTCAGTTTCCTCAAAATCGGATTAAAAATTGTGACCTCTACAGTAAATATGACTGAATGTAATGAAATATGTTGGTTAAATTTACCAGGTCAAAATAAAATTTCATGGGATTTTATAGGTTGATTAATTTGGCAAGAAGACACTCTGTGTTCGTTGAAAATTTTAGGTCCATAAAACAAGCCAATGTTGAGATAAACCAAATTCTGTGTTCAAGGGTTAACAATGTTCTTAACATTCTAAGCCAAAAAGAATACACTAGAAAAAAATAATTGTAAAGAGCCTGTTTTATCTCCAATAGAATTAATACTTCAATGAATGCATTTCAACATTTGAATTTATGTGATAATGACTGGCACCAATATTGTCCTTTAATGGCAGATAAGCACCAACCTGGCTACATTGTACCCAAAGAGGTTTAGATATCTGATTGTTATTTACAGTTCTTTTTGTGTCATAACAAAGCAGTTTCCTTTTGGTTTCTTTTCATCATTGATCCTAACGGTGTCAATTTGGTTGAAGAGAATAGATGTGATTATAATGGAATAACAATAAGTTCTGAATCAAGAGATCCTAGTGAAGGATATATATGAACTTGCTGACATTGACTATTATTATAAACCTCTCCCGTATTAAAAGGAGCGAATCTTGTTACATCTTTCACTGGTTTATTTACATCACTGGTATCACTATCTGATGGCTTTCTAACCCAAACTTCTACAATAAACAAATTACAAAAAATAGCATTAATTCTTCTCTATTTATAAATCATTATGGAAAAATATTTTTTCTAAATTTTGAACTACTTTTTGAACTAGTTTAAATTTTTAAACTACCAGTAGTTCTAGATCCAGTGCCAGATTTAGATGAAGAGAGGGCCTTATATTAGGCTATTCCACTTCTGAGACCCCTCTCAATCATCCACCCCCACGACTAATAGATGATGAAAAAGAGTTTAAAACAAAATTTAATAAAGGGTGATGATGGATGTTTGAGACTGCAGTTTGTGTAAGAAAGGCTTAAAGTAACTAAGTCTCTAACTCAATATCATCCAAAATCTTCAACATTGAAAACACAAATTATTTGTCAATTTAAATCATAATTGATGCTGTGATCTTACCGGAAAAAGATGGGCTTCTGATATCCAATATTTAAGACAAAATAAAGATTTTACCATTGGTACACGAATCCTGTATCATAATGCGTTTCAGCCCCAGTTCTAGCAAGAGACTCGAGGAACGAGGCTAGACATATTGCACCAAACCAAACGGCGTATGTAGACTGGAATAACCAGGCGCTAGAAATTTGCATTCGATTGGGACTGCTGGCTTATTTCGCCTAACATAACTGATTTGAAATTAGAGTAAAAACGGAAACCATTGAATGTATATCAGTTTATATACATTCATATTACAGTATTATATGAGTTGCGACCCACTTGTGTCAATTTCTAGGTCCCAAATATTAGCGATTTAGCTCCTTTAAGATATGACAAAAAATATTATACAGTGTCTGCAGGTCCCCTCGATTTTTAGGCCCACGGCTTCAGTCCTCCAAGCCATTCTACATTAGTTAAATCATGACTGATAAAGCCCCGCCTAGTGGGTCATAATTGCTTTCTATTTTTAATATTCAATATTCTCATCACCACTTTTAACATTGTCTGACATTTTCCACCCCGTAAAAATATATCCTCATTGTCTTTTCTTTCCTTCCGTTAACAGGAAAAGCTGAAAAGGAGCTCTCTTCAAATTAAATCTCTTTATTGATTCTAATAGAGAAGCATCTCATTCATCAGCAACGCTTTGACTTTTATGTAGATTAATTTATTGTCCAGCTTTCTAATTTAATCAATAATTAGATTAGTTTATAAGGCGGGCTGATTTACCCAATACTACTCATTACTACCCAATACCACCAAATACTAACTAAATACTTCCAAATAGCACCACATAATACCTTAATATTATGAAAAACTAACATAATACTTCAATTATATGTATTAAAAAAATCCGTTAATTTGTGGAAAACTGGTAAAAATGTACAGCAAGAATGATGGCCAATGTCTTGATGTTCCAGTTCCAAAAATGAGACAAAAGTACAATTATTTGGATAACAACACGTTTATTTGTGGAAAATAAATTATTATTTTCATTAGCCATTTCATTATCACTGATACTATAAATAGATATTTCAAATGTTTGTGCTTATTATAGGAATTAACTCATTGATATTGAATTAATTGCAGAATTCTGTTAGTTTGGGCTTATACTTATAAGTTGTATGTGGTGGTCTTTTGTAGTATTGGGCTAGAATTGGGAGATATTTGGTCATATTTGGGTAGACTTGCAGACACTGAACTACCAGGTATTGATACTATAAATAAATGAAATGAAATGAAATGGGATTTAACATCCTACTACTGTTCTGCTCCGACTGGGCTAATGAAGACGGGATAAACTCAAGTTTATTGTAAAAATTTTGCTAATTCTTATGAATTAATTCAATTTTTTTTTATATAATTGAAGTATTATGTTAGTTTTTCACAATAATGTGGTGGTATTTGGTAGTATTTAATTAGTATTGGGTGGTATTGGGTAGCATTGGGTAAATTGTCCTGTCGTAGTTTCTATACTGATTCTCCTATATACTGAATCTACACCAAAATTCTAATTACCTATCTGACTATCTGTACTGTCTATATATATAAAAAAAACTGTACATGTCTGACTATCTGTACAATCTACTGATATAAATATAAACTGTATGTGTCTGACTATCTGTACTATCTATATATAGATGTATACTAATGATCTTACCTGCCTGACTATTTGTACTATCTATATATTGATGTATACTGACTATCTGTACTATCTATATATAGATGTATACTAATGATCTTATCTGTCTGACTATTTGTACTATCTATATATTGATGTATACTGACTATCTGTACTATCTATATATAGATGTATATTAATGATCTTACCTGTCTGACTATCTGTACTATCTATATATTGATGTATATTTACTAATGGCATATGTAATAAACCTGATTGTAATGGTATTACATCTATCTTAGTTTCATATTCTCTTTCACTTACGTTAAACACACCTGAAAATCACCAATTAGTCATGTAATGGATACTAAGTCATTGGAATGATGTACAGACTAGGAAGGCTCTACTAATAATGCTTGGATCTTCAGCATGAGGTTGGTGTAGCAACAGCAATATTGAAGTCCTTATCATGAACACCTGTATGGATTTGCCGTTAAATTTTTCCTTGCAGGTCAATTGTTCGCCTTTTTGGTTTTATTATGACAGTTCTCAACATTATCTCAATTTATATCTCAGTGCTTATGTGTTTTAAAGATATATTATTCAAGAACTAAATTTGCCTATTGCAGGTCTTTCTTTAGGCCTTAAATGTTATATAAATTATTTATTTGACATTTATTAACATGACAAGACCATAATCAACTCTCGATGCCATCAGATGCTCGAGATTTTAAATAGATTAGAACAGTTTGGTTGGACATTTAATGATTTGATTTAAAAATGGAGGAGCGAGTCTAAGTCTCGAATATATCTGTACCTTGGTTAAGATAATAAACAATCAATGCACACATCTTGTCAAAACTACAAACAGTGATAACTTGACTCAGAATAAAGTAATTTAAATGAATTTTTCAATATATTGATTTTGAATTCTCTATTTTTGAACTATTATAGCAAGAACGACCAGCTCTATATCTTAATCTTCCATAATGTATTTTTAAGACATAAAAACTACAAATTCAACTGTATTTAAGTAATATTTTTTGTTGAAATATCGGTACCTATTTCTTTATTGCCCTGTACTAGGGTGCCCCACCATAAATAAATATCTCCAAATAGCTCGACAATTACACCACAATATTCATATATATACCAATCCTTAAATCTGTTTGGCACATTTATAGTCACTAAATAAACGGCCATGTTGTACATAATAAGCTATGACCATTTAACCATCGATAAATAATATACTAAAAAATGGTTCCGAGTGACGGCCACATAACATCCGGGCACTTTTGAGCAACAAATATGTTACGTGCCCTTGTTTTGAAATTAGTCTTGCTTAACCTGTCTAACGACCATTCTCTGTCTGATTGACAGGCCGGGATAATCAAGACTACTTTTTTTTACGAAAGCTGGAACAAGAAATTGAATTTAGAAAAACGCATAGCAAACTTAACAAATGTTTTAAGAACCTTATAAAAGGTAGTGAAACTACTGCTAGTATCATGTTCCTGTCTAACCCAAGTTTTAAAGAGATATTATTTGTACTAAACCAAAAGATGCCGCTCCTAACGGTATAGTTAATGATAAAGCAATTTAAAAAATAGAACAAACGTAATTTCTGAAGCTGCTGTAATAACCAAAAAGCTAAATATTACTGCTATTCAGAATCGTCTACAATAGATTTTTTATGGTGTAATAGTTGATAGATGTGTCGAGAATTTCACGTGCGATGGCTATTTATAGACTCAAAGTGAGTGTGTTACTAGCCAGAAATCACTTTGAGACATGCCACTGAAGTGTGCACATTCACCGTGTCGAGTATCACTTTTAGTAGGGAAAATGTTTGGCGCATGGGGTACACTACCTGTACACAAATATCATATAGCGAAATCTTAGTATATTCTGGTATTACTATAGCCCTAAAAGAATTTCAAGTTATTTAGGAATTACCGGGACGAGTTGTTTCAGATTATCTCCAACATGTATACCAAACTGACAATTTAACAATCATAGTATATAGAATATATTAAGATGTTATATTTACCAGTAGATTTTCCAGCTAATGCCCACGTAGTACCATCTACACTCACTTGATAAACAAGTCTATGGTCTGTCCTACTACATGTCAAGGCTTTCTGTACATTAATAGTTAAAGTGGCTGGTGTGCTGGTTGTACAAGTCTTATCATCAGACGTTACTGTGTAACTTAACTGATATTGTGTCTGTAAAGGAACATTTTAAATTAAGGAAAAACAGCATACAAATTACAAAAATGGAGCTACAGTGGCTAAGTGACACTGGTTCATTAACTAGGAGATCTTGGGTTTGCTCAAGGTGTTGGCCGAGAAGTTCCTCTTGGAGACACAGCATGTGGATTATCAGCAGCTTGTTTTAGTCTAGTCATCGCATGTGATCTTGTCTACAAAGAATATAATGTTAACAATTGTGAATTACAGTAATATTTAGATTGTTAGTTGTTATCAACTTTAGAAAATTGTGTTTGCTTTTTCAAATTTGCCAACTAACTATAACGTATGGAGCAGCATGATTGGGTTTAGTGCGATTCACATCTCCAAAGCTCAGCAGATAGACAAGAATAGAATACTAGTCCATAAAACATCCCTTGAGTTGCCTAAATGGTGAACTTCTGAATTAGGTTTCTTATAAGATAGTCTTGATAATCCAGGCTTGTCAATCAGATGGAGAACAGTCAGTAAACTGGTTTGGTATGACTAATTTCAAACCAAGGGCGTATGACCTATTTGGCACTTAAAAATGTGGTGTCTCGTTATGTATGATTTTAGTATATTTTTATTGCACTTTAAATGGTTATAACTTATTGAATGAAACTGTCTATTAAGTGTTAGTAATTGGTGGGGGGGGGGGGATTAATTAAGGTAAGGATCGTTTTATATCTGAATATGGTGGCATAATTATCAATATATGAATATAGTGACATTAGTAATATCAATATATTTTGAGATATTTTTTTTATGGTGGGGCACCCTATTTATGGATAAACAACCTATTCATAGCCAAGTGTCAATTAATTATAATGGGAGTGCTCTCTCTGTCTCTCTGGGAGGTCGGATGGCTGAATGGTCTGTCATTGAGTCAAATGGCGTAGTTTCGATTTCCCAGTTGTATGTGACAAGGAGTAGGGTCGCCTGTCCAACCTCGTCGGTCTCTGCAGGTCCTCCGGTTTCCTCCCACTGCACAAGCGAATTATTGAAATAAAATTGAACGATATGTTAGTCCCAAAATGACCTAGTTTGTGTTGAGTGGAGGTTAAACCCCATTTCTCTCTATCTCTGATACACATATTATAGATATGTTATACTATAGTCTAATTATAATACACATATTAGATATACTGTAGTCTACTTATAGTACACATAATAGATATACAGTAGTCTACTCATAATACACATATCAGATATACTGTAGTCTACTATCAAATATATTATAGTCTACTAATACACATATTAATTAGATATACCGTAGTCTACTAATACACATATCAAAAATATTATAGTATATTGACACACATATTAGATAAACAGTAGTCTACTGATACACATATTAGATATATTATAGTCTACTGATTCACATATTAGATATATTACCTGAAAATGTTCTAGTTGACAGATATAACTAAATAATCTTTGTTCACCAGAAACATCTAATGTTGAAGTATATTTAAAGTTAAAACACATATCTAAGTTTGGTAGATCTGATATGTTGGGTTTAATCATCCACAGGAAGGTTGCAGATTGATCACAACTTACTCTCTGAAAATATAACAACAGCCCAAGATCAGTTTAATTATCTATCATCCATTACACTTTTACAAAATCAACTTCATACAAAGTATAGAATTCTTTAAATTTGACCCTTCAGGTTGCCCTACCTATTCCTATGGGGCAAGCAAACCACCATTAATAAGCATCTAGAGATTTAGAAGGAGGTTCGTTCAAAATGTTCTGAAAATGTCTAAATTTTCCCTTCTAAGCAGCCTAAGATGTCCCTGTTGGGTTGAATAAGTTTTTGATTTTGACAAATCTGATGAAATTATGATGAAATCCATCATGTGGCTTAGGAAGGGAAGTTCAAAATGTAGAAATTTGATCCTTTAGGCTACCATTTGAACAAATCTAGAAAAAAATCACCACCCAGGCAACATAGTAAAAAATGTGGTTTAAATCCATCAAGTAGTTAGTGGACAATAGATATAATGACAGAAGTGAGATGAGCTAATCCTACGTCTCAAAACAATATGCACAGGAACTAAATGGTGATTCTTATAAGTTCCTTAATTATTTTGGAAGGAACAAGACAACTTTAAGTTTTATATCCTTCAATAATATAAAAGGGTTAATAAGAGCATATTAAAACATCACATATAAAATTGTTTTTTCTTTTTGAATAAGCAGATAGTTGTAACTCCTAATAGATTGGGTAGAGCTTTACCGTGCAATAACTAGACATTTTCAATATTATTGCACACTTTTGCTAGTTTACACAAGTTTTAATAGAAATCATTTAGAGAAGTGGGGTGGGTTTACTGTTTAATAAAGAGAGAGAGAGAGAAATGGGGTTTAACGTCCACTCGACACAAACTAGGTCATTTCGGGACTAACATATGGTTTAATTTTATTTCAATAATTCGCTTGCGCATTGGGGTCTTTAGCAGTGGGAGGAAACTGGAGGACCCGGAGAAAACCCACGAGGTTGGACAGGCGACCCTACTCCTTGTCACATACAACCGAGGATTCGAAACCACACCAGTCGACTCAATGACAGACTTTATGATACAGCGTGCGCACGCTAACCATTCAGCCATCCAACCCCCCCTTACTGTTTAATAACAATGAGCATGGGCAGTATTATTGACATGTATAGCCCCACCCCCATTTCACTACATCACCTGCCAAGACAGAAGTACTATTCATGTGCATCCAAGAGACATTGTGTGCCTTGGTGGTTAAACCAGTTAACTCATAAAAGTGGTCCTCCTAAATATAACATATTTGCATTTTCAACCAAATTAAATAATGACAAAATAACCTACCCATTGTTGTGTTAATTTATTATATGGTATTAATTCTAGATCAAGACAATTGAGACAAGATAACTCTGGACGAACTAAGTAAAACTCAGACTGAACATGGCCACACACCACAATCTGTAGATATTTTCTGAAAAAAAAAAGGATTTTTATATCTGTGTAAGAAAATCTCCAATATATACAACCATATAAATTAAGCTAGCATTCTATTACAACTAAAGAATTCTCAGGTAACAAATATACATCTAGCAGTAGTGTTGAGGTATATAGTGATCTATAAATATTCTCTAAAAATTGTCAACAAATATTTTGTAACATTAACAATAACTCTGCTAAAAATAGATATCAGAACTTATACAATTAGTCATTGATCAAAAATTTGATCAAAATCTGATAACAATATATCGACCTCAGAGCATTCACAGGCATGTGTGGACGGCCCTAGAGGTCAAGACAATATGCATCCACATTAAAAGCAAATTAATATTTTTAAGATATCATTTAACAGACTAAGTTGTAAATTAAATGTATTTTAAAGAATAAATAAAAATGACTGTTTACTTTTCTTTTGCAGTATGAAGTTTATGTGTGACTTGGAATGGATGATGGAATGACAGGTTACAGGTCATGATTTTATCCCAGCAATCAACTTTACAACTCATCTGAAATAAACAAATTTAAAGTTTGAAATATTAGTTTCTTTATCTAAAATAATAAGATAATCTTAGGAGACATAAAAAAAGATATCAGGTTAAATAGTTTATCAGCATGCCATCCTTCAGTCAAGAGAAAAACAGCTGCACTAAATGGTGTTCCCACCTACACTTCTTTGAGTTTGAATTACAACTGCCAAATTATAAAATCCTTTTGTGCAAGAGATTTTTCATTCTCTTACATCTGACATTTTGGTTTGAGAATTTCCTAATATGGTCAATCAGATTAAAATACAGATTTATATTTTGTTTCATTTTTTTATACTTTTGATGGCCTACACTACATGAAGATCTGACCAGTTGTATTAGGAGGTCGCGTCAGGGGTCATACAAGCAGCTTTTGACCCTATGACATCAGACATTGATTAATCAATAAGCGTTGATGTCTCTAGTGGTTTAGCCACAGTTCCCTGCATCGCACGCCAAGAACTCGCCGTAACAAACCATTTCATTGGGTAATCCATCACGCTATCCAGAACACAGGTTATATAACAACTCTTCCAGATCCTAGTGTAGTACAGACAAATAAAACAAAATTTTGAACTATAAAAAATGAAATGAAATAGGATCTGTGTTTTAATCAGATTGTAATATGATTGTCTTGCTGGAGCTTGTATTTGAAGTTGAGATATTCTAGTCAGTCTAGTGATCTAATTAAATGACTATTGATTTGTGTGAGTTAGTTATATTTTACGGCCGCTTCCACTCAGGTGATATCGCAGACTATTGATTTAGAGCAATCTAATTTAAATAGCCAGACAGTGTGTTACTGATTGCTTATCAGCCAATCCCCATATACACAATGGCTCAGAGGTATTTTAGTTAATCTATTGCATAATTTTAAAGTCTGATTGATTAAAGAACAACACAGAATGATGATATCAGGTATGCCATACTCATTTTGTTTATATCGAAGTCATAATATCACTCTACTTCCAGTTTCATTTCCCACAACCCTATGCGATACCATGACCATGAAAAAAACCATTACAGATAATTTGATTGGTCATTTAGTTTAGGTGATCAGTAAATAATTCAGATGTCAGTATACATGTAGTAGATCAAAATCAAAATGACATGACACTGACATCTGATTCTGATCCGATTAATATTAGAGAAAGTGGCAGCAACAAAACTCTTCACAGAAACCAATTTTTTCATATGACAAAAATCATGTTTCAAGTTATTCTTTAAATCAGGAAAAGATTTAATTTTGTCTTACTTTAACATCTGTAGTTTGTTTGACTTGTTGTTTTGTTTCTTGATATAAACTTAATTTATATTCTACAGTCTGTCTGCTGGCTATACCTCCAATTCTAATAGAGTTATCTCCACTTTCTGTTAGTATGGTAACATTACCATTAAATTCTATAGTTATAACAGAACCATCTGGTATATTATAGCTACCAGTATGTAATGCCAAAATAGCATCTTGTTGAATACCAGCTAGGAAATTATCTGGAAAACAATCATAATCAAACTGTCAGACAAAAAAAATATTTCTCTGATAATGTATGAATATGAGGTTAGTGTCAGTTTTATCACATACATAAGTCAAGTACTTGATGTATCGGTACTTATAATCAATAATCACTGATAAATAAGTTTAATCAATAACTGAGTAACCCAGCAAGTATTTTTAGAGTATTGCTGAAGCAATATGTCTCCTACAGGCACCAATAACTTTCACTATACTGTAATGCATTTATAAGGGGATGAATTGTGAATACATATCTATGAATACAAACAAAATATGTATAAATGGAATAAATTATGTAAAAACTGAACTTTCATTCAACTGGTACAACAGTGTACTAAATTTTAATCTATTAAATACATAAGAGTTCCATGGAATCTTGATCTATAACTCTGCTGTCAGGTGACTGATAATGATATTAGAGGTTACAATGTGCCAGAAGGCCAATAATAATTTTTCTTAAATTTATTAAAACAAACAATAAAGATTGAAAAAGAAAATTATTTCGATAGCAATAACTTTACTTACTATAAACAAACGATTTACTAGTATGTGTTTACCCTATGCAAAGATCTGACATGATTTGTATATGAATTAATAACAATATTTCCACAGAGAATGAGAAATGGCTGATCATGTACAGACGAACATGTAAACATTCTTTATCCTCTGTGTATATATACCACAGCAGACAGTTATCACATCTACCCTTAAAAAAGAACCCAATGAACTTAAAACAAAAACAAACCTTGTTTTGATGGCTTGAGTTCTACATAAGGCTCATTACAAACAACTTCAAAATGAAGATCACAATTAGCAAGTGATTTTAGAAATTCTGACTGTTTTATTTTATAACAAATCTGACTTAATCTGTAGACACCTTTATCTTCTGTCTGAAAAATACAAAAAATAATTCATTAACCATTCAACAGTAAGGCTGAAGTCCCCTGACTGACTCAATTCAATAGTCCTCTGCTTCCTTCGAAAGGCAGACGACAGTAACAATATAATCAGTGCAACTGATTTTAAAATAGAATTTATTGCAGCAAATAGTATGTATAGTTGGTATTCAAATGTGTAGTTCTATAGACTAAAATATATAAATAAACAAATATTTGTGACTTTCAAATTTTCAGGTTATTCTACGAATTACTACCCTTCAGTGCGTCGCAACAGAGTGCCAAAATTCAAAAAAAAAAAAAGATGTCAGTCATTGTTACTAAATCAAGCAATATCTGACAAAATGCAATAGGGTGTCATTTGTTAACATATATTCATGTATTATTTATATCTATTTATTAGTTTGTATCCAATTTCTCATCTTTTGTCTATGTTTAAGAATTCCTATAAAGTAATAAAGAATTATTATTATTAATTATTACCTTTACTCTTAGCTGTATTTCATTGCATCCTGGATTTAATGTGACATTGTCTACACTCATACATAATGAATAATCTCCCTTTAACATGATTTCTGATTCTACAGGACCACTATCACATCTTTTCAATAAATCGTGAGCATTAGCACATCCAATAGCACATGATACTACCTTTCCATTACGTCTTTCATAGGTAGAATGGGCATCAATGTGGGTGGGAAGCTGTTTTGTGATTGGTCTAAAATTAGGTATATGTTCGTGATTTTTAAATGTGAGACTAGGATTCCGAACATGTGTTTTTCGTTTGAAAGGACTTACACCGAGGTCGCCAGCTTTAATAATTGATATTTCTATCTGATTACATACAACTTGTTCAGGAAAATTACATTTAACAGTCAAATCAACAATAAAATCATCATGTAATATAACAGATGAATTATTTATATTGGCTTCCTCTAATGTAAATACTGTACTAGCTTTCATTTGGTATACATTCCCTGTAAATAAAATGCAAGACAATAAGAAAAGATATTTTTTTTAGAAGACCTTTCCAAATGTAGAAGACTTAAATTCTGCCTCTGACTTAATGCCTGTATTTTGGACACTCAATCCTATTTTATCACCTATTTCACTGTGAGAAAATGCAGCCAGTCATGGCAGTGTAGAAATTGGACAAGTTCTATTTTGTTGCCACTTTGTCACAAAATCTATTTAAACTAAAACCCTGTAGAATAAATAGCAAGTTACTTACCTTCATTCTCGGAAGCTAATCTGAGTAGTTCTCTAAAATATTCCTTTCTGTCATCTAACTTTAAACAACAACTACAGGCTATATGACAGGCAGTCTTAAAATATGTCAGACAAATTAAGGCAGTAAAAATACAATATTTGTTTGCTACTTGAAGAATAATAAATAGATTTTTTTTTATATAATTTTAAACTAAGTTAATGATGAATTATTTTCATATTGGAGTTAAATTTTGACACTTTTTTAATTAATGTCTTATCATTCACATTAGCTTTTTGGATTTTGTGTACTACTCTACTACAAAACTATTTGTATTAGAGTTGGGCAATATCCCTGGAAACAGATATTGCGATATTTTCCAAAAATATTGCTATATAATCACTACATCGCGATATTTTATAATGTGTCAGTAATTTGAGTTTACACCTTTTAAATGTAATTAAAGGAAAACAGGAAAAGGGTACGGCAACACTCCCTTAGAGAGTAATTATAGCTGGACAGGCTGGTACATCTGCGTGGTAGCTGGATCAAAAAATGATACCGGCGGGGCAGAGTACAGAAAAGAATTCCCGCTCAACAGATAACCACAACAGACTTGTAGAAGTAGAGGATCGTTTAATAAATCAACGTATCGGGTGTGGTACCCTTTATCAAAATTGAAATTATAATGATCCTGTGACGCTTTATATATAATAAAGGTGGTGACGTCACAGGATTTTAAAATTTATTATATGTACAATGCAGGATCTTTAAAAATAGGATTGTTAAAATTAGGATTTAAAAAAGAAGGATTGTTAAATTTAACTATGTACAAATGTAATGTAAAAGAGTAATAAAAAGATTATAAATAATTATTAAGATAATAAGAAAAATTATTATTTGAGAGTATGGTTGAAATTTTTACTGTTTAATTTAAAATGAAAAATTGTTAATGATTTCTAGTATGGCTGTGGCAGCGGCTGTTTCTTCTTCCTCATTTGGTTCTATGTTGGTGGGATTCGTTGATGGGCTCGACAGACTGGAGAATCCTCTTCTACTGGTTCGGTGATAAATTGCTTATTTCTGACCTTTAGTACATGTTTGAAGCCGTTAATATAGATGTAATTCGGCCGGGACTCGAAAGGCCGGATCCAGTCTGTTGGAGGCCGGACTGCTGTGGCTTCGTCAGTGATGTTTTTAGGGTGAATAGTATTTGCTGGAACTTCTATATCTGTATTAGTATCATTTTTAGCGGTAGTTGTATTGGTGGCGGAAATCTGTTGTTTAGCGGCAGACTTCTTGTAAATTATTCCATTCATTCTTTGCTTGCGTTTTGTTTGTACTTCGTGAACGTTTCTTATATGGCGTTTACCATTACTGGCGTTTAAAAATTCCTTATTGCAGAATGGACATTCAAACAACTTCTTGCTTGTTTAGTTTTGTTCATTCAAACCTCCAGGCGCTTGGGTTGCTAGGAGGTCGATGATGGATTCTTCGTGACGTAATCTGACGTTGGTGTTACGTGACGTTTTCGTGACAATTTGGACCTGGATCCGGCCGAAATACGTCTATATTAACGGCTTCAAACATGTACTAAAGGTCAGAAATAAGCAATTTATCACCGAACCAGTAGAAGAAGATTCTCCAGCCCTGTCGAGTCCATCAACGAATCCCACCAACATAGAACCAAATGAGGAAGAAGAAACAGCCGCTGCCACAGCCATACTAGAAATCATTAACAATTTTTCATTTTAAATTAAACAGTAAAAATTTCAACCATACTCTCAAATAATAATTTTTCTTATTATCTTAATAATTATTTATAATCTTTTTATTACTCTTTTATATTACATTTGTACATAGTTAAATTTAACAATCCTTCTTTTTTAAATCCTAATTTTAACAATCCTATTTTTAAAGATCCTGCATTGTACATATAATAAATTTTAAAATCCTGTGACGTCACCACCTTTATTATATATAAAGCGTCACAGGATCATTATAATTTCAATCTTGATAAAGGGTACCACACCCGAAACGTTGATTTATTAAACGATCCTCTACTTCTACAAGTCTGTTGTGGTTATCTGTTGAGCGGGGATTCTTAAATGTAATTAAACATGCATAAAAAGTTGGCAATATCCACAGAGTATTCACTTGACACTTTCTTGTCAATATTATTAAAAGTTTTTAGCATAAATACAGTACTGAATGAGCTGGTTCAAACATGGATCTATATAGCAATGAAGACTTGCTAAAAATGTTGTTGTTGTTGGTGTTGAAGGAGGCCAAAAAAAAGTAAAATAACATAAAAAAAGTTTGTGTTCTTTCGGTTGTTTTTATAGCTACAGGTACGATTGGATGCTATTCATTTACCCTTGCAAACTCGTGTTTTTTCATTTAAGCATATGCCTTCTTGAAAATGCATTTTACAATACAAGAATACTCATTTAAACTATAGAACATAAGTACTGTCAAAAAGTGTCTCCTGATTTAGTTAAATAGCAATTTTTCGGATCATGGAATGCCAATTGCCATGACACTTCCGACACTGAATGATAATCAGTCTACCGGTACTCTCAATATAGTCAGGGTTTATAAGAGTATTTATTTATCATTAATCAATAAAATATCGTCAATAACATAACGAGGAAGCCATTTTTCCAATATTTATGTTAAATATCATCCAGGAAAATCAAAACAGCGATATTTCATGGTATGTTCTATTTTTCGATATTTTTCTGAAGACAGTGTTTTTGACAGTTTTTATTTCTGTGAAGGTCTTATATCGAAAAACCAAAATATCGCCCAGTTCTAATTTGTATCATTTCAGACATCCCTCCTGTTTAAAACTCTCTCGTATTTGATTAAAAGGATATTTATCCACTTCATTCATACTCAATAAACATTGAGCCAGATCTATCATTGTACCATCTGCCAAATTACCCCAATTCTCTTGTTGATACATCTTTATAGCATCTAATAAAAATCCTTCTGCTTTCTGAGGTTCACCAATTTTCCTATCACAGTACAGAAAATGATAGTTATTAAGTACCTTTGAAAAAAAACCTTGTTTTATCAAAATATTTGTCTCAGTTAGGATATAGTAACAAATCTATTGCTACTAACAAATTTATAGCTACTTGATTTTTTCTGATTTCTTCTAGTAAAAAGAAATATTAATTAATGATATTTAATATTACAAGTATCAGCCTCACTGAATTCGGGTAATGAAAAAGCAGGCTTCAAATTATGTAAGCATCATCCAGTGATCTATTTAATAATCTAGCATAACACAGTTGATGCCGATGGTGTAAATGGCATCCAAATATATAGTTTTAATTAGTTTGTAAAATGTACATGTATTGATTGACAGGAATTGTTTAAAAAGTAATACATACATGTAGAAATCAGCCATATCTCTACCTAATATTCTAGCTGATCTAAATCTACTGATATGTTTATACGTTCCCATAGTTAATTCACACATTTCCTAGAAAATAAACATTATTATATACTAAAAACATGGTTCTTATCTTCATAACTGTATAGTATGGAAAATACTATAACATTTCACCTTTGACCATAATACAGCTGAGACTTGTTTGGATGTGATCAGAAATGAAATGATGTTTAATATCTTACTTTTTGACACCAGTAGGTCATGTCATGGAGCATGCTATGAGGGAATTACTGTCTAGACAGTTGTGCTACAGCTTACTGTAATTTCGATTTCTAACTTATCCTTCTGCCAATAGTATATATGGGACCTAGTTTTTCATTCTTGTTAGTCACTAGCAAATATTGTGTATCTGTATCTAGTTTTACTTCATTCTAATTGACAGATATAGAAATTGACTGACCAGATAAATTAACTGCCAGACAATTTACCACTTTAAAACATAATAAATACAGTTAAATTTATAGTTTTATGTGCATAAGCAATTACAAATTGATCTATAAAATGAAATAAGCATAAAAATGATCACAACTGAATATGAAAGTGCAAAGATTATAAAAATCACTGTGATGAAAATTTATAATTTTTCTAATTCTTGTTAAACCACAGGCTAATGCAATTTACATGATAAAGCAAATGCCATTTCCAAGAAATTAAACTATAAAGTCATATTTATATGTAGAAGCTCAAAACATCAAAGTGAGGCTGATATAGTATTCATTATATAGGAGTCCTAATATAATGATAAATATCATGTTTACTTACTAAATAATGTTTCTTAAAAGATGATTCTGATGATAAAGCCTCTCGTAATCTGTCTCTAGGATGAACTTGACCGGCTTCTGTTTCTACAGCATAAAAATTGAATAAAATAAGAATATAATATTTATAACCTATCAGATCTGTGATTAACAGTTGAGGGAATCAATCAGTGACCTAGCCTGCCCTGTATTGTCACATCCAGTTACATCATTTACGGAATCAGTTCACAACAGTGATCTCTACTGCAGCAGCAATTCCTGGAAGACGTAGGATCTCAGGCCAGACAGTCCGTAACAGCTTACGTGAAACCGGATTACGAGCCAGACATCCGATTAGAGCTGTTGTTTTCAAACATGCCAACATTGTCAAATCTGACTTCAATGGGTTCAGACACACAGGGTATGGCTACAGTAACAGTGGAGAACTGTTTGGTTCAGCGACGAGTCGCAACGAGGCGATGGTAGCGCGAGGGTTTTCCGACGACGAAATGTCACTATGCGTTTGTTTTTTTCAAGAGTATACAACTAACCTTCTCCTGTATCTAGTCCCATACCAGCTGATAAATCTACAACATGACTTAATTGTTCTGATGTCGGCTCACTACCAGGCATTAAACCACATAAATAACCCAAATCTTTTAACTGAGAAATATCAAATATAACAGATGAATAATTATATGAAATGTAATGACCAAAGAGTTAAACATACTAGTTTTGTGCATAAATCAGGCTAATAAAGGTGGACATACATGATGCTGTGTGCTATAAGGGACATTCTGTCCATACAGAGGCATTTCCACTTACTCTTCACTGAATTCTAACCATTTACATTCATTTACATTCATGGGTAGACCTCCGCAACGGTCATACAAAAGCCAGTCATTGTAAATCAATCTCCAGTTTGAGATCATTTCTAGCCTTTGATTTTTATGAGAACCATTTAAATCATGAATCAAGTATGTTAATAGTCTCAAACTTTCAGCACTAGCAACACTTAAAGTCACACATTACAATATAGATATTAAATAAACTTATCCAGCTGTTTAACTCCAAGAGTCATGATATGCTTGACTATGATATAATTCTAATAAGGTTCCACACTATGCTGATAAGAAATGAATTGAACTGCATTGAATCGAATATTTAACCAGCAGTTGCCAGGCAAGATAAACCCACATTTGGAAGAGATGGACAGAGAAAAAGCTAAAAAAGGGTGATTTTTCGCACCAGGAAGTTATGGTCTGAAATGTGCGAATATTGAAATGGACTGAGATATTTGGGATATAAAGATATATTTTAAGTTTTATCAAAATCAGATAAAAAATGTGACTTCTAGTGCATCCATAACTTTAGTATTACATACTTTTACACATAAATTTAAAGTTTCATCAAAATCGGATCAAAATTGTGGCCTCTAGAGGGTCCACTAACTTGATATACCATATATCTACACTATTTGCGTACGAGGGTTGGCCTTCAATAGGGTGTAACGGTGATATATTCAAACGGTTTATTAAATTGGATAAAAATTGTGACCTCTAGAGGGACCACAAGCTAAAATTGTGATTTTTCGTACAATCAAGGGGCATAATTCAGGAAGTTATAATCTGATATGCGCGAATATCAAAAGGAACCAAGATCTTGGGTTATAAACATCTCTTTTAAGTTTCATCAAAATCAGATGAAAATTGTGACCTCTAGAGTGTCCACATGTTAACAACGTGATTTTTCGTACAATCAGGGGCCATAATCCATGAAGTTTTAATCCCATACATGCCAATATCGAAAGGAACCGGGATCTTTTGGAGATAAACCTATATTTCAATTTCATTAAAATCGGATAAGAATTGTGACCTGTAGAGTGTCCACAAACAAATTGTGGAAGTTCGGACGGACAGGGGCGACGATATGAAAATGTGGGCGTATAAAAACATTTCAAATCATAACTAAAAATATTTGAATTGTAAAACCAACATTTGATGTGACTATTATTAGTATATTCATCAGATTTCTTTTTTTAATATAAGCAAGATTTGATTTTAGGATTTAATTTTTCTTTTCCGTAAATATTTTATTCTACCAACCTTTGTTCTAGCATAATCTCGTAATGTAGCAGTATATAGTGAGTATCTATCTAATTGAGTAGTTTGTGGTAGGGTTTCACAGGCTCTTAATACTTCTAAACAACTCATAAACATCCAACATGATAAAGCTCCTTGTGGTATATCAATCTATAATATATAAATAACTCATATATATGATAAAGCTTAATAGTAAGTGCAGGGAGACTGCACCACACACAAACAATTACTCAAAAATGAAAACTAACAATAAGGAGTTATGGTCTGCTATTTGCCAGATGACATATGAATGTAAGCACATTGAAGGAAAATTACCTATACAATTAACTATCGATGAAATGTATAAAACTGCAGGTACAACTAAATGGTCTATGTTATAGTGAGAAACGGATCGAAAGAATTGAGGTGTATTGACTACAAAGGAAAATACAATGCTGAATACAAAGAAGCAAGCGGAGAAAGTACAACTTGTCTCAACGACAGTTGTCTGCTAAATAACATGACGTAAAAAGCAGTAGTTTGCCAAATGACGTCATGAGCTAAATGTAATAAAAAAGAACAATAAAAAGGGCGATAATCCAGAACTAGGAACTAATCGGAATTATTCAGCTATGTAATTGCATAAAATATAATAAGAAATGCAAACTACTGGTACGGTAATTCTTTTTTTTACTATTTAATTTTGAGAGTTTGATTCATTACCCTATGTCTCCTACCTCTAAAGAATGGATTTCTTGAGCTGTATTATAAAGAAAGTCCATGGCTCTCTGTGCCACAATCCATGATTTGTTCATAAGGAAAAGTAAAGCACTATGTCGAGAGAAGAGATAATTTCTGAATTCTAGCAGACTGACTTTATTCAGTTTGATCATATCTCGTTTTAACCAGTCTATTGGTTTATATAAAGATAGGCCAGCCCAACTTTTACACGACTGTATCGTTGATGTCAACCATTCTGCTACATCTAGTAAATGATATAAAACAAGCAAAATAATTACATTTTGTTTGATGTACAAATCACTAGGCCTATACTAGCACAGTAAAAAACTAATTCCATGTCATTAGTGGTGTAACTACTTCGGACAGATACAGTGTGCGAAATTAACATTAGACTAGTAAAGATAAACTTTGTCAATTAATTGTGTCATGAAGCTATAGTTTCGCTTGTCTATCGAATCAATAAGAATTTTCCAATGTCACTGTGCAAAATTTGTTTTTGTGACTGTAAATACACTAGTGGTATTATCTCATCCACATGCAGTAGTAATGATTAATTCTTAAATGACCCAGAGGTTTGACATCATAACGTTAGAAAACCCCACGTCATAATGGTCAATAGTGTTAAAATATCGATATGCATTTTAAAGTCATATCATTAAAAAACAACTGTAATATAGACGCTCCATGTAAATGGATGAAATAATCTAAATTTAATGCCATTTTCATAAATATGAATTTTATTATCTATACCAAATACTAATTTAGACATTTCATGCAAAATTCATGTACATGTATATAATGGTTATTTATATTTATTGTTAAGCTTATTTAAGTAATTTGTTGATTAAGCCTACTTCTATCATGTTCTAATGCAAAACTATAAAAATCTACACCACCGATAAAATCTGTATCACTGTCATTCAGTAAGGATGGTAATTCGTCATTAGGAGAACGCTGTTGAATAGGCCTAGACATATCACCAGTAAGATTTTTAACTGTCAAAATGTCAAACAGGAAGTAAACAAACAAGAAAAAGTCGTCTGTTAATAAGGGAAATGACTCTCATTACCCTAGGAACGTTGCATTCGGCTAACTGGTTTTGTCGACAAGAGTCTCTTGGTACTTAGCGGTAACGTTATAGGTGTCAACAAAAGTTGCAGTGGATCAGTTAAGAGTTAATTACCAAATGTATTGGACATAATATCTATGGCTATGCCATCTCGAAGCTTACTTTCAAACACAGCCCTCTTACCAATACAATCATTAATGTCTATAAATTATCAGTGTAACATGACTGTCATTCACTTCAGTTGTGTTACTATTACTATCAATACAAATATAAAATAGAAATACAGAATGCTTAAAGGTCTCACCGCCACTTGCATGATTTTCTACAAATTGTGTAAATAGAGCATCTAGTTCATCATACTGTATCAGAGCATCTTCAAATAAACCCAACATTTCGAACATAAATGCTAGTTCTTCCTATATAATAGAACATAAAAACATATATACAGCACCAAGATATTTTATTATCAAAATTAATATACAGTATTCCTGCATTCTGTATGATCCATAAGATCGACTGACCCTCTTCTAACCAATGGCATGGTAGTCTTGGTCAACCAGAACCTCCTAGTCTTCAATCTACACAGGTTCTGGGACTGATGTCAATATTTTACGAAAAGTCCATTGCCTATGCATAACCGGGAGTTTGGTTTTTAATGTGGTTGATTATCCAGTATCTTTGGCCAAGTCAAGCAAGAGTTGTGCCCCTTCCCGTAATAAATCCCATAATTCTTGCATTAATATAAACAAACATGAATCGTGAATTTACAAAAACATATATATGGCCCATGAAGAGAGAAATTTTACAATAAAAAGAATCAAGAGTCTTGGATATTGAACTGGCAATGCAATCAAATGGATTTTTTTAAATGGCATTCTTATTATTTTCAAATGTTGACAATGCATCCTGACTAATATTCGTAGAATATTTTTCTGGATGATAGAGACTACTGGCAGGAGATTAAATCCGAAGTTCTACATACATCTACTGTCTGAATCCTCGTAAATTTTAAACGAATTTCTTCAATTGTGAACAATATACTTAATAAATGTTATTAAAAACTTGCCTACGTGTTTGAAATCACCTCCCGTTAATTAAAATCCAATGCAAAATTAAATAATTCCAACGAAAAAAAAAGTTCTCTCTTAAAAAGTCAATGTTTTTGCTTGTATTTTCGACTGTGTTCATCACAACATTGCACATGTCATGTGATGAGCTAAACCATCGTACGATGTTGAAGGGGGGTAAAGGTTGACAAAACTTGACAATGACGTGTGTTGTAATCTAAACAATGTGGGACCGTTTTGATCGTTTAAATTTGAGCAACAACATTAATTCGGAAACAATTGATTGTCAGTCTACTAAATTTTATTCACAGTGAATATATCACAGATTACACGGATACTCGTAATATAATATTGCTTTTCACATCATCACCCCATAATTGTAAATACCCTGTATATTATATATGGGACTTTTTCAAAAAATGTCAAAATTCCAAGGCACCAAAAACTAAGAAGATAAGTTTCTCGAAATACAAATTTTAATACCTCAATACAATAGAAATATACATAAGGTTGCAAAACAGAAATATGCAGGCTTAATGACATTTGCAAATATGAAAATTACTAAAATTTTTGAACATTCGGGCCAAAATAATTCCTTCCTGTTACCAACGAATCATCTGCGTAAAAAAACAAAAAAAGTATTTATTTCTAAATTTGTTTCACTTTTATTGGGATATTCTGTGATAGTTCTTCTCATTTATCCAAAAATTACTTTGGCAATAAAGAAATAAAATACTTTTTCGTGTTGATAACTATCTGCATTGTCATATAATTACCGTTGGAATTAGCTTTGATTTTAATTAATTCTTTCATCGAAGTGAAATTTTAATTAAAATACCCTTCTTATGTTTGATGTATCTTGATGATTTATTCCAATGCATTATGACAATGATTGTTCCTGTATGATAATTATAATTAAGCTTTTAATGAGTAGTAACAGGAAAGATTTTGTGGTAACAGTAAAGAACAAAAAAGTAACAGTATAGAACAATGCTACTGAATTGGTTACCATTAACATATAAAAACATGAAAGATGAGAAATGATAGGCACTGGCATATCTTAGTCAGTATTGAAATAAAATAGAAATCTAAAACCGTTCTTAGTTGTTTACAACATGAGTAATGTAATGAAATTCTTTGCTGCAGTAACATGAAAGAAAACATAGTAACAGGAAAGAAGTTGTTCATCTTCATTTACTCTCTGTTTATCTCCATTTACTCTCTGTTCATCTCCATCTACTCTCTGTTTATCTTCATCTACTCTCTGTTCATCTTCATCTACTCTCTGTTCATCTTCTTTTACTCTCTGTTCATCTTCTTCCTCTACTCTCTGTTCATCTCCATTTACTCTTTGTTCATCTTCATCTACTCTCTGTTTATCTTCATCTACTCTCTGTTCATCTTCATCTACTCTCTGTTCATCTTCTTCCTCTACTCTCTGTTCATCTCCATTTACTCTTTGTTCATCTTCATCTACTCTCTGTTCATCTTCATCTACTCTCTGTTCATCTTCATCTACTCTCTGTTCATCTTTATTTACTCTCTGTTCATCTTCTTCATTTACTTTCTGTTCATCTTCATCTACTCTCTGGTCATCTTCATCTACTCTCTGTTCATCTTCATTTACTCTCTGTTCATCTTCATTTACTCTCTGTTCATCTTCTTCATTTACTTTCTGTTCATCTTCATCTACTCTCTGGTCATCTTTATCTTCTCTCTGTTCATCTTCATTTACTCTCTATTCATCTTCATCTACTCTCTGTTCATCTTCTTTATTTACATTACTCTCTGTTCATCAGCTCCAGATTTCTGTCAGACCCTGGAAGAGTGACAATATTTTCAGCAGCTTTCTGTCGTGATTTGAAGTCTTTTTTATACTGCCGCCATTCTTTTTTCTTCAGTCTGTGTTCCCTTTTTGACATATCTTTGACCTGTTTTCTTCTCTCCTGTTTCTTTGTCTTTCATGTATTTGTCGTTCTCATCCTGTACATATCTAGCCCTCCTTTTAGGGCCTGCGTCTCTCCTGTTGGTAGCACCGCTGCTTCTCAGCAGCTGGCAATGGCATCATCACTGAAAGAAAGGGGAAAGAGCTATTAAAGAAAGAACTTGGCTGCCAATTCCGTCCTGTTACATGTTGTTTCTTTCCTGTTACCCGTTTTTGAATTTCAGTAAGATAACCAGAATTATTAGTTTTTGTTGATAATTATTTTAAGGACAACCGTAAAAAGTCATTTCATCAGATTTATACTTTTTTGGTTTTCTTTAAAACTGTTTTAAAGACAACAAACTTAGCATCTAATTCTATTCTGTTACGTATTGTCTTTCCTGTTACCATATTAACATTACTACATTCTTTCCTGTTACCAAATACAGTAACAGGAGAGAAGGTAACAGGACAGGAATTTTTCTCTTATGCCAATCATTATTGAGTGATAGTTAATCCACTGTTTAAACTAATTGATGGGAAAGTAATCTTACCCCCACAAAGCATACAATGATGTCAATTCAAAATATGAATCTACATAAGAAATCCTAAAAACATCAGTAACAGGATAGATAGACTTAAAAAGTACTACTCACCTATTTAACCTTTGATTGATTGGATAGAAAAACCAATCATTAATTTCTCCTTTCACTCTTCACCATGCTAAGGTTGAGGGAAGCGATCTTTGTTTGACACAGCCTCTTTTTGGTTCAGAGGGAGGGTTCAATATTTTGAGTGGAATTTTCCACAAGGTAACAGGAAGGAACTTAATTCTAGGGACAAACATTTTCATCATTTTTTTTCACTTTTTCAAGCAAAGTTGGATGAAAAAAATTATATAATCACAAACAGAAGAACAAAATTAAATAATAATAACTTGAAACATACAGATTTATTTGAAATTTAGATCTATTTGTTTGTGTCAAAAGTCTACTAAAAAAATTGGGACATCGCATTTTGGCAGTACCATGAATACAGATTCATTGATTTTCCACAAAAAACAGTATGATAAATGGCAAATATGATTTTTATTCACTTATCTATTACACACCCTTTATAATAAAGTAAAAAAGTAGTTTCAAATCTTTAATTTTTTTTCCATACAACCAATTCGTTTCCAGGGACAGGAATTTTGACATTTTTTGAAAAATTCCCATATACTTTTATAGGTAACTTTGTGGCTAACTTTTATAAATAAACCCACTTTAATTCATAATTTTAATTGATCATACTTCATAACGTGGTCTAATCCCAATGCTCTGTGGTTATTAATCCATTTTCAAAGCTTTATGATTACCACAAAAATATGAAAAAAAGTCATTGCTTCTCAATAATTTCCACATTTAATTCACGTTTCGACTGTTGATGTCAATAATATTCTGATTAAAAAACATATTTTTTTGTTTATTTGACAGATACTGAAATCGAAACATTCTTGATAAGAATAGTTCAGGATAAAAATGTATTTAAAATGTACGTATTATTAGGTCTTGTGTGTTAATTATTCAGACCGTTGGAAAAACTCGTGAAAGTTTCGCTCTTAATTAAACCATTGTCACTCCATCTGTATAGCATACAATAACTCATATGGCATGGGACCTTTTACGGTACCGGTAATAGATCTACGAAATGCCATCGGAGTTGAGATTCAAGGCCCATAAAATGAATGTTGTTCTTTTTGTTCTGCTCATGTATTCAAAAGAAATAATACCCCTTCAACTCTCTATCAAATAATTAATACAAGACAGAAACAAAATAACGGGCTACATGTGTATTTATGTTTATAAACCCCCAAACTCATTACCGGGTTCAAGTGCAATAGCTTATTCATACACAAAATTTGAATTGTCATAACAGAGCCAAACACCGTTACGATAGACAAGCCTTGCTGCGACCCCCATGTACGATTTGATCCATCCCGATAAGTGACGTAATTAGCTTCCAATTTTGTATGTTTTGATGTCCATGTTTGCGATGAGTTCAATGAGAACTTTTTTATTTGACGGGATATTTAGTTGTACAATGGATGTTATTTAACGTGAGGTGATTTCAAACACATAGGCAAGTTTTTAATAGCCATAATTAAGTAGTTTGTTCATAATGGAAGAAATCTGTTTAAAATTTACAAAGGTTCAGACCGCATACTAAATCCTGTAGCATGTTGAAATGCTACGTCAATTTCACCTCTAAAATTATGATTCACAAATTAAAAAGGGGCTGAAAATATGCAGATCAAGTGATCATCCATTGAATACTCATCATGCACAGTGAAAATTGAGCATACTGTAAGTCTATTTGCTTAAAAACAGACTAAAATGAAGACATTTGTTCACTAATTTGAAAATACTACTTATCAAATTATATGACACTAAGTACTGCAATTAATTAATGTTCTCACCTGGAATATAAAATAATCAAAATAATTCCATCCAGGTTCATTTCTCTTCTCTCTTAAACTTCTCATTTTATCTTCATATTTGTCTAAATGATGATTAAAGGCCTGAAGTAAAAGTTGTCGTAATCTTTGGAAAAAACTATACCAAGATTCAGCTGTCTTCTGATCTGTTTTCATTGGTTCAGATAAAACTATACACCTGCAAAAATATCATGGTTTGATAAATTTTTGTGTGTCGACTTTTTCAATTTATAACTACCGTAGATAGTAACAGATGCATTACATAAATAGACATAACTGTAAAATTTTGTTTTTATGGAATGTAATGATGGTTTCTATTTTTGGTGTAAAATCAAGATATGTCCATCCATATCAGCTGACCTTTTTAATAAATATTAACTTCCTCCAAAATTAAAATGTATGTAGCCAGTTTGAATAATTACCTATCAGCTTGCTTACTGCAGAAGTCATTGCGTACTTTGTCAATAACTGATGATCTAGGCAGCAACTTGGACTTGATCTTACTTTCATCATTTATAACAACTACTATCAACCAATCAGGGATGTTAGCTTCCTTTAATGCTGAATGCCATTCAGCAATGTCTTCTCTAACTGTTTGCTTGTAACTTTCTAAATCCTGAAAGATAAAATGACGAAATCTTTGACCATTATTAGGGTGACCCACCATAAATAAATATCTCCAAATATCTCGACAATTACGCCACAATATTTATATATATGCCAAGCCTCAAATCAGTTTCACACAATTATAGTCACTAAATAAATGATCATGTTGTACTTAATAAGCTATGACCATTAATCATATATAAATAATAGACTGAAAACTGGTTCCAAGTGTCGTCCATAACATCCAGACACTTTTGAGTAAAAGATAGGTTACGTGCCCTTGTTTTGAAATTAGTCTCGCTTAACCAGTCTATCGACCATTCTACGTCTGATTGACAGGTCGGGATAATCAAGACTACTTTTTTACGAAACATAACAGAAAGCTAGAACAAGAAATTGAATTTAGAAATAAGCACTTTAGACAACTCAACAATTGTTTTAAGAAACTTGTAAAAGTAAAATGAAACTACTGCTAGTATCATGTTCTTGTCTAACCTGAGTGTTTCAGAGATATTATTTGTACTAAACCAAAAGATGCGGCTCTTAACGGTACAGTTAATGATAAAGCAATTTAAAAAATAAAACAAACGTAATTTCTAAAGCTGCTGTAATAACCAAAAAGCTAAATTTTACTGCTATTCAAAATCGTCAACAATCGATTTTTTACGGTTGTAATAGTTGATATATTTGTAGAGAATTGCACGTGCCATGGCTATTTAACGACTCAAAGAGAGTGCGGGGTAGTCAGAAATCAGTTCGAGACACGCAACTGAAGCGTGCACATTTAGCCGTGTCGAGACCAACTTTTTGTAGAGTGCACGGGTCATCCTACCATTATTACAGTTGTATTTACAATGTACAATTATTAGCCAATCATTAACTCCACGGTTTTATGTCAATTTTATGTTTCCCTAGGCTAATAACTCAACTTACACAATCAGTCCAATAAATATGAAAATATGGCCGACTGACTAAAGTTTTAGTAGTTTCATCAGGCAATATGTCAGCATCATATGGTACAAAACTTGCTTCTAAATGAATCGTCCTTGGTGCTCTCCCATATGATCTGAAAAGGAAAAATATAATCCTAAAATTAAAAGATTAATTGAACATGTAATTTAATATTCTTCATTTTTGAATAATAACTCACTTCTATCACTCAAAGGATTTGGATTCAAATAATTCATTTTTCTTGATTTCTATTAAATACACCACTGGCATATAAAACAATATAAACATAAACTACAACACATACTCATCTAGACTTTGATAATGTTGAGTGGATACTCTTCGAAATATATAGGTAGCAGTTTTCCAAGGTAGCACGATTTACCCAAAACCACCCAAATCCACCATTATTTCAACTCATATAATAATAATTTATATCTATATTTGATAACATACTGTTCTTTATGCCAAATAAATTGGCATTTTTAATTTAAAATCGTAACATATTTGTTAAAAATGTTCCTCAAGATGCAATTTTAAAATAAGCAATACACGAGTTATGTCCCTTCGTTACATCTTTCAAACTTGCTTGGAAATCCCATTTTGAGCAGGAATTTTGACACAAAAAAATTATGATTTTAATTTCTAAATGACATTTTAGCATAAAGAACAGGATATTATCAAATATCGATATAAATTATTATGATAGAAGTTAAATTATGGTGGATTTGGTTAAAACTTCCAAATCCAAACTTGGAAATCGCATAAATTATTGTCTTATACATGTAATTTGAGATAATGGTGGAATTGGGTAGATTTGGGTGGATTTGGGTAATTTATGCTACCCATTTTCCATAAGTATGTGTAACAGTTTATTATTACTCTATCCAGTTAGGAAATGTCTCTAACTAATAACTTGACTAAAAGATTAATATAAACATATCAACTTTAAACTATTTACCTACGCCATTCACAAGCTTCTTTTGGCAGTCCATGTAATGTTGCAGCATGAAGACCAGAGAATAAAGATTGATCTCCATGACCTAGTGGTAATAAAAAGTATCAACAATTATAAAATTTAAAGATACATTATGGGATAAAGAGCTGGCAGTTCTCACTATCATTCATAGTTAAAAACTAGATAATGTAATGGCAATTTGCTGAAAATTTCAGTCAAATTGATCCTTTCTGAAGCGAGAATTTAGCGATTGAAAGTTCGGCCTAGACTTGATCATCATGACATTACTAAAGTCGGTACGATAAAAAACATAGTCTCTCGATTATCCATTTCATGATTAAATCATGATTGAAAGTTGAGCAGCAGATTGGATCCTAATCCAGTAAATATTGCAGGCTAGTGATGACATCGAGAGTTGATTATGGCCTGGATAAGTTAATTAATGTCTAATTTATAATTAAATAAAATTTGAGACCTAAAGAAAGACCTGCAAATGCAATAGGCAGATTTAGCTCTTGCAGAATGTATGTTTAATTTCAATTTATTTAGTCGATGCCATTTTCGAAGTTCAATGATATTTGATAGCACAACCTGAAGGTGAGAGAGAGAGAGAAATGGGGTTTAACGTCCACTCGACAGAAACTAGGTCATTTCGGGACTAACATATGATTTAATTTTATTTCAATAATTCGCTTGCGCGTAGGGGTCTTTAGCAGTGGGAGGAAACCGGAGGACCCGGAGAAAACCCATGAGTTTGGACAGGCGACCCTACTTCTTGACACGTACAAGGAATCGAAACCACGCCAGTTGACTCAATGACAGACCAAACTGGAGGTACCGTAACCTATATTACAAGATCTTTCAAGATGTTATAACCTACACATACACGTCAAAATATACATTTTCTACGTTCTAGTTATCTTGCTAGTACTAATAAAGTCACTTAGATATCTAGTCCGACTGGACTGGATTTAGTAACTTGAACTTCCAATAAAATCCAGTTTCATTTCTTCGGCAGTGAACTTACAAGTGACAATCGGTTTGGTTTCCATTTAATTATAACAAATTCTGATGCTTTCTTTTGAGAAAATGCTGTTAGCTTTGTTACATTAGATTACAAGACTTTGGTAAATCCAAATCATTAGCAATGATACCCTTTTCTTTTTTACAAATTTCGGCTGCTTCGACTGTTTACTTTTATACAGGAAGTAGGCCTAGTAGTTAGCTGATTGGCCTTAAAGTTCTCAACTTTTTACTTTCGTATTCAGCAAATAATTGAAATTAAAGAAGTTTTCGCACATTATTTTACTTATTTATGTTTCATTCACTATAATTTTATACATACTAACTGTATTCTATCATTGCTCTGCAGATAACCACGAATTAAATAATCCAATAAAAGATAAATACTTGAATAATCTTCACATACCAAGCACCTGCAAAATGGCTGACGATTTAGAAGATGGATTTTATATTCAGGGTATATTTATAATTTATTGGCTTGGTTTTATTATTATATACCATATATGTGTCACTTTAATGACATTTAAATATAGGTTATAAAGGGTTGTTCTTATTTAATCAAACTGGAATTTTAGAGGCGATTGTTATGTACTGTCATCGACTTTTTTTGACTGTTTACATCTAACACGTGGTAATGTTATGATGATGTACATGTAGGGAGACAACTGTGATTATACGTCTGGGATCACACCACAATTTCTTTCTCCATTGACTTACTGTTTCAGGCGACACTTTAGGAATTGCTAGTTCCTTTAGGAATGGCCTGTGACCGGTCTCTGTCCGCTGACCGTTCCCATTATCGTTCCAATATGAAAATAACGCTCTTCCCCACCTCTATGCTATAAATTTAGTATAAAATGCTATTTATTTTAAAAACCTTAACTTCTACTTTTCACCTTGATACTTTATTTTTCGCCAAAAGGAATCATTTCTCTCCTGATCTGATACAAGTTTATACTACATGTACTTGAACACTATTTTCAAGTAGAATTTTTCAATTAAAAACAACAAAATATGTTTGAACTGATCAGCCATTACAAACATGTGCAGACCCCTACATGATGTTGTTAGTTAGTTGTATTTTACGTCCGCTTCCACCGGGGTGATATCGCAGACAAGCTCTACATGATATGCATGCAAGCAAATCGTACTACAGTGCACTCTGTCACATCCGACATCATACGGGATCGTTACAATATGTCGGATTACGCAGAGTGTCGGAATACCCAGTTTTCTCTAGACGGAAATATTGTAACTTCGAAAACCGGAAGCATTATTAAAATGTAGCTTCTTACATAGAACTTCGAATCACCAGAATGTTATTCTCTTTAAAAATGATAAACCTTTCTGTACATTCAAAATTTTATTACATTAATGCGTAGGCATTTTGAACAGGTCAAGTCTGTTGTTAATTTATCTTCTTCGTCATCTTCAGTTGATCGCACTCGTGTCTTATAATAATAATAATAATAATAATATCTTTATTTTCAAAGGTGAAAAATTAGGCTTAGAGCCTGTTTACAATTTTGCCCTTTACAACAAAGAAATGAAAAAGACAGTAATAGAACAAGACACTTAACAAATACTCACACACAAAACATTCAAATATATATTGATAAGCTAAATAGTTTAACTTTAAAACTAAAAGTAATATGATAGATAATATGTAGTAAGTAGTTGATATATTAAATATAGGCTACAGGTTAAGAAGAAGAAATAACATGCCTAGTGATATTTTTCTTAAATAAATGAAGATTTTTAATATTTTTAAGTGAATATGGGAGAGAATTCCAAAGCACTGTGCCTCTATATTGTAAACTACATTTAAATATTTCATTATTAGGTCTACAGATAGAAAGTCTATTATTGAGAGATGAATATGGAGTGGTGTTATAATGAAAAATATTGCTATCACGTGTTCATTGATAATGGGCGTACTCGATTGAACGTTCCGGAATTGAATTCTCTCAATCCCAAAAATAGTTACAATCGAAACCTGTTCGTCGTGTTTTATTACGGATAATTGATCGGTAAGTGTTTGCTTCACACCCACCGATTGAAGGCCGGATTATACGGTGTCGATTCAATGGAAATCGTATGACGGGACGGCTGATTGATGTCGTAATCCGGAACGTACAGAGGTCGAATTACCCAGAGATTTTTTGGCTGAAGTAATAAGGAAATTAATAATTAATCGGGACATGAAAATGGTGTCGGATGTAACAGAGTGCCGGAGTGATCAGAGGTCGGATGTGACAGAATGCACTGTATATGTTTACTCTCAAAATAAACTGTCAGTGCCTTCGGTTATCTTCAAATTACTGGCTATTATCCTCAGATGATACTAACTTGACATATAATTCGTTAATAAAGACCACCAACAAATATTGTTTGATTATTATTAATTGCCATCTATTATATGGTTTGTCTTTTCACTGTCGATGACCTTTGATTATTTTTCAAGTTTTGATTCCTTTATAAAGACTACATACAATTATCGTTTAATTATTGTCTTTAATTTTAAAATAGTATATCAATATTTTATCAAATATTTGTTGTGGTATCCTGTATTTTTTAATTATGGTTTCACATAACTATTATCAGAGATAATCCTTATCAGACATATAGAAGTAGATTTCACAAATTAAAAACACTTACATGTATATGGATAGCATGTTAATAAATTCAGAAGTATTATATCCATATAAGTGTTTTTAATTTATTATCAGAGATTTCTAATAGTTCCTGCTATCTAAACCTGAAAATAATAACTTGATCTTCAAAATGCAACATTGAAAGCCATGTACAATAATAAGTGACAGTCAAATTACTTCATCTTCATCAGCCAGGAGTGCTTTATTAGATAAACATATGAGTATGGAAGTGCAGATAAGCAATTGTCTGTAAAGTGTGCTACTGTTATATAAGGAAAATTAGTCAGGTTAGAAAATATATCACAAACAATGCAACAAAAACTTTAATTAATTTTTATGCCACGTCAAGACTAGATAATTTTAATTCTTTGCTCTCTAACCTCTGGTGTCCTTCACATCATTCCATCTTGGCGGGGTTGGATGGCCGAATGGTTAGCACATGCGTGCTGTATCATAAGGTTTGTCATGGAGTCAACTGGCGTGTTTCGATTCCCCGGTTGTATGTGGCAATGAGTAGGATCACCTGTCCAGCCTCGTGGGTTTTCTCTGGGTCTCTCTCATTCCATCTTAAATAAAATGGTGACATGTTACATTGTACATTAAGTACTTAAATGGGATTGGATGGAAATTTGTTTGAAATTGAAATTATAATAATTATAGCAATAAACTCTTTCTTTCATTAGAAAATATTGTTGCGGAGTCAGGTGAAAGTGATGATCCGGATGGTGAACAGAATTCAAAAGAAATAAATGAAGAGAAACCTGTGAAAATCAGTTCAAAACGACCACGAGAAACAGAGGTAATCAATGAAGATGATGCACCAATTAAAAAGAAAAAGAAGAGAAAAAGAAAAGTAAGTTAATGTGCATCATGTATTTGTACAATAGGATATGTTAATATTTATTATGGTTGTGACTTGTGTAAAATAATTTAGCAATACTATCAAAAGAACATAGTTTTTTTTTAATATAAAAATCTTTTATTATTGTCTTGAAATATATATGTACACGTATCTTACATCACAAAGAATTCATAGATTCTGGTTGAAATGAAAGTGATGGACCAAGGTCTCATCCATGGTTACAAATCTGGCCAAAAAATTATCAGGATCTGCTTCAAAATAGCGCAGATTGTCATGGGACGTCATGAATCTGACATGTTTATGATCCACAGTCAAGAGCTTTGGCACCCATCTTCCAGAAACTTTTTTCATTCCTAACTCGTTGGCGATAATGTGCACAACCCTCTCATGAGAGATGCCCACAACACTGGCAATATGTTCAGTGGTCAATCGTGGATCAGCCATCACCATGTCATGCACCCAGGTAATGTTTTCTTAAATGGTTGCTTTTGATGCTGGTCATCTTTAAGGCTCTTTCTGCCAAGCTTAAATTCCTCAGCCCACTTCTTTACTCTGTGGGGGAGCCATGGTGGCTAAGTGGGGAAGATGTTTGCTCGCTAGCCTGGAGGTCACGTGTTCGATCTGTGCATTGGCCAAGAAAGTTCATCAGGATTTTCCGGCGTGGTTTCCCCTTGTCAGTGGTGCAGGACGGGAGGGCCTGACAAGGACAGCTGTCTAGTCATTTGGATGGGATGAAAAACTGAGGTCCTGTGTATACATTGGCATGCACGTAAAAGATCCCTTGGCAGTTGGAATTCGATATAAGAGTAGGCTATACTATGGTCGCCATAGTATCGCTGCCAGGGCAAAATTTCAGTCATAGCACACTGTATGGCATATCCCCGTCTTCATTATTTCTTTACTGTGGAAACGGAAGGGGCATCATTCCCTAAAGTGGAGACCATGTCGGCATATATCTGCGTTGGGGCTAGTCCCTTCAGTTGCAGGTACTTAATGACTGCCTTATAGCCAGTTTTGTCCATTTCTGTTCATTTCATTTGGTAGGTTCACCAGATGATCTGGTACGAAGACAATGATAACAGTACAGTTGCAGTTCTTATGTCTATGATTCATTCAGTGATTGTATTTGTTGGTGGCAAAAGTTTGTTTCAACCCAATTGATCTATCCTTCTCAGACTTAAAACTTTTCAGCCAGCCCTTGTACATACTCAGATCATCATGTCCATGTCCACAGTCTTTTATTAAATTAATATTTACTAACAAATTTATGAATATGCTTATTTTGTAGAGAATAACAGAAGAATTGGCAAAGAAAAAACCTGTGAATGCAAAGAAAGGAGAATTAATTGAGTTTATTCACAACAATTTTGATGGCAAACTTTCCTCAATAGAATGGGATGACCTGAAATTAGATACAGGTTTGTTGTCCATATCTCTCAGTAATATAATAATTTAATTAAAGTATTAAAACAGAATCTAAAGTATAATTTGTTAAAAAAACCACTATGGTATGCAATATGTTCCCCATTATAAAATATTGAAATATTTATCCTTTGTTTATATTTCAGAATCAGATTTATTCCCAGCAAATGAAAAAGAGAAAAAAGCAAGTGATTATTTACAAGAATTATTCCCAAAGTGGACGAAATTATTACAAATCACATCAAAACCAGGTTCACCATTAATTATTGTTTTAACTGCATCAGCCATTAGAGCCGTTGATTTGAACAGGTAAATGTACTAAATATTTATAGGGCATCTACCAGTATTGTATTTCATAGATTATCAACTTCACAGAGTAAACTGAAATATGTGAGAGGATCACATATCACAGCAGGTATAGAATAATGTATGGTAGTAGATATCTTTATTGTCCACTTCTACAGGTGTTTTTAATATTTTTGAATTCATGGATCATTTAGAATCTAATGGAATTTATAGTCCCCCCCCCTCCTCTAAAAAATAAAAGTAGGAATTGTTTAAAGGGGTGGTTGACTATTAAATAAATAAAGGGGGTCAGTCAGATAATTTTTAATTATATTACATTTTTTTTTATTTATAGAGAACTAAATGAATTTAAAACCAAAAAATGTAAAACAGCCAAGTTATTTGGAAAACATTTAAAGGTACATGTAAATCAATTTATCCTAAACACTTGAGTTATAATTTTAGTGTGTATTGGTCATATTAGATTTTGTCCAGTTGAGGTTGGCTGTTCAATTACAGTAGTACCTATGTACTGTATACAAATATACTCTTCAAAAAAAGTAGGGGATATTGAAATGCAAATACTATGCAGGTTGTGATATGATAAATAGTCATGGACACTTGACATGCTTTGAGAGTATGTTCACAGATGAAGAACTTATCGCCCCAACAGAACCACTGAGCTGCACATGTGACACACAATAGCGCCATACATGTGGGAGGGATTCATTGTCAAATTTGACACTTCAAGAAGGTTTGATGAAAACTGCCGCTTGCTGGTTTATACATTTTCACTTTTGACAGTGTATCTCTTTGCAAGTGAAATGGGGCCGTCAGATAAGCCCCCCCATATTAACTGTTTATGTTCATATGTAGGCAATTGGTCTGTTATTAACATACACTGGTTACCTCTAATATAAACAGCAGTGCATTTCCGCAGTTTTGTATTGTTTCTGAATATCCCCTACTTTTTTTGAAGAGTATATATGCAAACTAGCTTCTGAACAGCTGACAGATAGTTTACAGTGTAAAGACATTTTATGGCTACAGACAAATACAAATATATTCAAGTATGTACCTTATCATGTGAAAAATGTAATTCAGTCCATTATTATTGTTATAGTGCAAACCTGCTTTATGGGCAGACATAGAGGCTGTTCTGAAGGACTAAAGCACTAATTGTTCACAGTGACAACATCAAGATGATAGTTACTTCCGGTTAATTGAATATTAACTTCTTACACTTCTGGTCAATTGAAGATAACACCTTAAAAATACTGTAATGCACATTTTAAAAAAGGAAATACATATTATAAGAGATTTTATTTATACAGATAATTGTATACCAAATAGATATGATTTTATGTTACAGGCATCTGAACAACAGCAATATTTATCAAAACATGTTTGTCATATAGCAGTGGGAACTCCTCTTCGTGTTCTAAATCTGGTTAAATCAGGTCGGTGATCTTTATTTAAAAGAAGAGTAAATAAGCTATGTATTAGCACGACCTTCTTAAAAGTAGATATCACATTTGTTATTGTAAGAGTGCCTGGGTAGCTGATTTGTTTTCCTAATATGTTCTAGTAGGTTGAAAATATAGTACTCAGAAGATCAGTATTTCCCTTCAATTAACAGATCATTATAAATTATAATTCAAAACATAGCTTATGATAATGTTCTCCTGGACTGTACTTGGTTCTCAACAAGAACACCATCTTCTAGTTCCAAAATATAAACTCAAATCATTTGGATACATATTGTTTAATCACCTTGTTTGCGTATTCTGTGGAAGGATTGCCCTGAACATTAAACTAGTATCCAGTCTAGAAACTGAAATTAAATTAAAATCTCATCTATTTTCGGCCTGTTGTAGCACCTAGACTTTGTAAGGCCTTGAGCATTCATACTAGCATTGAACTGTGCAGGGTATACATATTATTATTTCTTGATTTGTTTATTTTCAGGTTCCCTAAAATTAAACAAATTGGAAGGTATTGTCTTAGATTGGAATAAACGTGATGTTAAATCTAAAAGAATGATAGATATTCCGGAGGTTAAACAAGCATTATTAGATTTATTTAAGGGAGGACTTGTATCAGCTGTACATAAATCAAGGTGTAAATTCGCTTTGTTATAGCAGACGTCTGTATTGATTAGTTAACATCTGTTGTTATATTTTTAAGTGGGGCATATAAATATGACAGTGAAAGCCATTGACCTAGGGGTGTAAACATTAAATAAGTGGCCGTGATGTAAACTGGTTTCCAAATAGAGAAGTCCCAGTTTCTTTGAGTAATTTGGAAATGAACACTCAACAGTTTACAGGGTTTACCTATATGTCATTAATTAAGAAGTATAAAAACGCTCAGCTCAATTTTTCATTGATTGACCTGATACATGTGACTATTGGTTACCTTTCTATGGTTTAAAAATTGGACAATTGGGCGTTTGTATTTCTTTAAAAACTTATCACGGTGCATTGTATAACAGTGCTTCAAATAGTTTCTACAGGCTAGTTAAGGTTACAAAGGTATTCCACGATCAATTAACCAGTTTTATTCACTCAAATAAGCTTGCTACTGGAGACCTATATTCGTTCCGGTCACGAGATCTTGAAGATAATCATTGGCCTATGGATGTATTATCTCCATTAGGCCTATTATTATCTTTAATGGGAACGAAATTTTACAATAAAATAACACCAAATTATTTACTCCACGGTTCTATGTTCAGCCTTGTTAAATAGCGAATTGTCTTATCATGAGCTGCCGTGATATTGAAATTGAATGATATTATGGTTCGAAGTTGGACCGTTCATCCCATTGTTTGATATAACCAGACTGATATTCCATTATTATATTGATACCTGCTGGAATCCGGCTTTATGTGCATCTGATTAATGGCGATGGTGGCGGCGAGCGTGTGGTGCACTCCTTGCGTTACTTTTAGTATTCTGCATTAAAATGATAAAACATTAAAAGGATACCATACGCCTAACGCAATTTTACTACCAAAATGCACTTATTATATACCCACATTTTCATGTCGACGTATTCTGTCGTCTCCCTTGTCCGTCCGGGCTTCACACATTTGTTTGTAGACACTCTACAGCAATAAGTTAGTTAACGATTGCGTTCACCTTCCTAAGCAAATGTAGTGACCAGTTAACTCTTTCGAAAGGCTCAATAAAAAGATGAAACTTTTTGTCCCGTCATTTGATATGCATACCAAACCAAGTTTTATCAACGAATAGTCTGTAAAACTATAACTGTTACTTTATGGCTTTTCACAGACATGACTTATCTCGTCCTTTAACTTATTTATAGTTGGCGAAAAATTTAAAACAACTCTTACATGTATAGTGCTATCTTGTACACGTAATGTACTATTAGAACAAACTTGAATATCGCTTTTAAATAACCTGACCTGGTCAAGGTAAAATTAATTTGCAATAATTTAGTTAATCCAAATGAACCTTTTTATCGTATAAAACTAATTTGAAATAAAGTTCTGCTGAATTAAGTATGTCGACGACTATTAATTTGGTTGAAGAAAGTACATGTACCGGTTCAGCTTTCCTGTTAAATTTGTCTAGAGACTTTCAGGTTGTATAAGAAAATGAAATGAAATGGGGTTTAACCGTTGTGCTCAGACTTGATTAATGAAGATGGGCATACGCCATACAATGTGCTATGGGTGGAAATTTTGCTCGGGCAGCGGTACTATGTCCTACTCTTACATCGAATTCCAACGGCCAAGGGATCAAAATTTCCCCCAAAGCACACTGTATGACGTATGCCCGTCTTCATTAGCCAAGTCTGAGCAAAACAGTAGGACGCTAGACCCCATTTCATTTCATTTTCCGTATAATCCGAACGACTAGACAACTGTCCTTGTCAGTCCCTCTGCCCTGCACCAATGACAACGGGAAGCACGTCGGAAAAATCCCAATGAACTTTCTCGGCCAAAGCAGGAATCGAACAGTTTGTATAAAAGCAATAACCAACTGGCCAAATAATATCAAAATCTTCTGTCAAGGTTGAACCAACACACTTGGTCAATATTGAAGTCCTTTAATTGGCGGCTATATCTGGTTACGGAATTTTGGTAGAAACATGATTTAATATGGTGTTATGTATTTAGTTAAAATCAAAATAATTATGGGTGGACATAGATAAGTGTAATGGACTCTTTGGTTAAGCCAACTTAATACTACTTAAAGAGATATATGATCAACATCCAATAAAGATAAGAACTAAAGATAATAACAAAATACTGTTAAAAGTCAACAATGTACCCAAACAACAAAGAGAAGGGAAATTGTAGAGGTACATACTTCGAGGCCTAAAACAAACTTGACGTGCTAGTAGTACTTATTACTGCATGTACAGATCGGCTTAAGTAAATGGTTGATAACATAACGACTAGATCATCGGCGACTAGTCGACTTTCTCGTCTGTATCGAGGCGATCTCTGATCGAACTTTGCTTGCTATACATCTTGACAAAAACGTTGTTGAGATGATTAATCTAAAAGATGATGCCATCAATCATTAACTAAAGCGAGTTTTCCACAAAGCTGTGACGGTTGTTTATTTTTAATTAATTAACACAATTACACAACAATATAAATTTAAAATACTTTAAGCAAGAAACATTAATGTTCCCCATTCTCTGATCTTTGTTCCCGAAAAATGGACGGTTCACCGAATCTGGCTTCTACGCCTATGCATACCTACTAAATTGGTTGCAATCTGCAAGTAGTTCAGAAGAAGGAAGTCTTTTATATAATAACATAGCGGACGAACCAAGGAAATGGGTATAACATACGTGCTTGGGGCTAAAATAATGGTTACATTTTCTGTTTTGGAGTGAAGATAAAATTATTTCAGTAGTAATAAATGAGAATTGCTCTTTTTTTTTTTTTTCAAATCCTTCAAGTAGTTATGGAAAATGATATGGTTTTGGCTTTGCCCCCCCCCCCCGCCCCTTGGCTGTGACGTAGGACGGAGGGCCTGGCAAGGGACAGCGTATAGTCGTTCGGGTCCGACGGAAAACCGAAGTCGCGTGTACACGTTGGCGTTCACGCAAAAGAACCCTTGACAGTTGGAATTCGAAATTAAACTAGGTCATAGCGCGGCTGGTCTTTATTAGCTCACTATACGAGCGGAACAGTAGGACGTTAATCCTCATTTGATTTCTGACCTGGGTTGTTTTTCGCGTTGTCATTGTTATTCTACGGAGTAAATCCACATTTATTAAACTTTGCAAAGGGCTCCCGGTGAAACTCTAATGTTCGTTCCGAGGGACACGAATCCGGCCCCGTGAATTCTCCAATGTTATAAACACGTCATGTTGATCCATATTTTTAGAAAAAAAAAATACAACACATCATGTCCTGTGCGTGACAATACATCATAATATATACGTTGACATATTGGTTGTGGGAAGAACTAACCAGTTCGTATCGGAATTAAGCAGTTCATACAAGTTGTATTAATGTAGCGCGTTCTGTAAATGTATATAAGTACCCGATGAAATGGAATTGGGTTGCACATCCTACTTTTAGGCCCCGACTCGGCTAATGAAGACGGGCATACGCCATACAGTGTGTTATGAGGAACATTTTGGGTCCTGGCATAAATAAGACAATAAAGAGTATTTTTAAGAGTATTTACACTATGCTAATGGCATCCTGCTTGTACTCAAAATATTCACTGAATTGGCTACAGGTTGCACAATAATATTGCAGCTCGGCTTGTATCACTGAAAAGCTAGTGGAAGCAAGGGTAAATTATAAAAGACCCACACCCGTCTTTTCGGTTTAAGGCCCGTAGCTAGCGGGTTGGGGGGGGGGGGGCAGCTGCCCTTTGCCCATTGGGGAAAAAATCGGCGCGCCTAAGGCGCCCTTTCCATTGCACGCAATACGAAGCCAACGACTAACGTGCCCATATCAGTACGGGCGCCACATAAAGCCGAGTGATATTGGTCGGGCGCCCAACCAATGTCACTTGGTTTTATGGTTGCCTGGCCAATCATGTCGTTATATATGAGGCGCCCCCCAAATGGTGAGGCACCTCATAATGACTCACACGATTAACACCACAACTTGATTGATGAGGCGCCCAAAACGGCTTGATCTGTGGGGTGCCTTATCCCGGAGGGGCGCCGTGATTGGTGAGGCGCCTGATATAATGACAATATATGATTGTCGGGCCGTACATAATGCATAATGCCGAGGCGCCCAAAACGGCATGATTGGTGTGGTGCCTCATCCCGGAGGGGTGCCCATATTGCCGAGATTGGTGGGTCGCCCACCACGAGATCGTCGGTGCCCATAATATAATTGTCGGGGCGCCCATAATGCTGAGTGAGATTGGTTAGGCGCCTAGGAATGAATTGGGCGCTCAAAACGGCGTGATAATCTTCAAAATTCAAACAAGTCGCACTCTAACCCGATTCCGAACTTTTCGTTTTTCTCATAAATTATTATAGGTACGTTAAAGTCGTATTCCTTCCTTCAAATTTTTATAATGTTCATATCAAAATATCATTTACGCCAATATCGCAAATTCAGCCTCAAAATTGAAATTTCCCATCAGTTTAAGGTGCAAGCCCTATTTTCCAAATTGTCGAGGGTGGGGGTGGGGGGACTAGACCTTTCTCCGAAGGGAGGCGTGTCCACGGTATCGTTCGCCGTGGACTGCCCCATCTATTTTGGGTTAGCTACGGGCCTGTATTTTTGTCATTAGTGCCTATGCAAAAGCAATAACTCTTAAAGTGTCTATAAAAAAATATGGACCTAACCTTAGATCATCTACAATATGTAAACTCTATGGGAAATATTCACAACCAAGTTCATGGTACAATTACCTGGAATGATATCGCATGACAATTTTACAACATTAAAAACTCGTCTCTTTTTTTCTCCAAATATCTTTCTGAACCTTTTGTGGAGTGCTTGAAATGACTTTTTGTAAATTACTTGAAATGACTTTTTGTAAAGGTGCTTGAAATGACTATTTGCACATAACGTAGCGCTATGGAAGTCAATCATTTATTATTAGACAGTTGGATTAATTTTGACAGCTAGCGATTTATCTGTGTCAGTTATAAATTATGTTAGTCTTAGGTGAAATACAATCCTTGACAATAGCTATATATTCTATACTATGTCAACTTTTTACACTCACCATTTTTATACGTCCACATTTACATGTGAACGTTTATTGTCGTCGCCCCTGTCCGTCCGTCTACAATTTGTTTGTGGACAGTCTACATGTCACACTTTTATCCGATTTTGACTAAACTTGAAATGTAGGTTTATCTTTCAGGTTTCATCAAAATCAGATAAAATTGTGACTTCTAGAGGGCACAACCTTGGTATTACATAGTTTTACACTATTTGAATGCAAGGAGCGGCCATTTTGTCCGGCAGTTTCGGTCCGATTTTCACGAAATTCGAACTCAACCCGATTTTGCGTACAATCAGGGGCCATAATCCAGGAAGTTACCGTCTGATATGCGCAAATATCCAAAGGAACCAAGATCTTTGGGTTATAAACATACGAGCGTACATTTCAAGTTTCATCAAAATCGGATAAAAATTGTGACTTCTAGAGGGGCCACAATCTTTTACACTATTTCAATTTGCGTGCAAGGCCGCGCCTTGTATGCAAATTTTGTGAAATTATGTAATACGAAGGTTGTGGACTTTCTAGAGGTCACAATTTTTGTCCGATTTTGATGAAACTTAAAAAATATCTTTATATCCCAAAGATGTCAGTCCCTTTCGACATTCGCGCATTTTAGGTCATAACTTCCTGGATTATGGCCCCTGATTAGCTTGTTATCTATCCGCCTCTTGCAAAACGTGGGTGCATCTTGCCTGGCAACTGCAAAGCAAAGCTTTTCGGGTAGATAATGTGGATTAAATTGCGTCTAAAAGCAACAAAAATGTTGCAGGTGATGCTAAGTGCTATAAAATTCTTCGGAAGAGAACATACAAAGACTGTTTGTGATATCACCCTAGGTGGAAGCGAACGGTAATCCCACTGACTGACTAACATGCAAACTCGCCGCGACGACTGTGCGATCGTTTCTTGGGTTGTGTTTTTGTGTATGTCTAAATCTAGTATCTCACTGGGCTGTGGCAGTCCGCAACTAGTTGCAGACACACAATTTGGTGAAAAGGCACGAAATTGA